GATTATTTTGCCGACTAAGTGTCCTGTATTTGCCTAAAAACGTTATTAAATTTTCCTTTAACTTAAAGTAAAACCTAATGGAAAAAAACTTTTCGTTTATGTTCGACATAAACATCCCTTCAATTCGAAACTAATCCCACATTCCAACTGCTAAGTTGATAGTTAGCATGGTCCCGGGAACAACTCTGACCCATCTGCGTACCTTTTACCTCACAACAATCAATCACGTGACCATTCTCCCACGCCGATCTTATAAAAACCCCTTCCTTCCCCTTCTCGGCGGAGTCGTTCCAGAGCAGGTGCCAAAAGAAGATAAATTTCAAATAGTGTCCTTTTTAACCAGTGAACTTTCCTAAATCAGCGATTTAAATATTTAACCAGTGAACTCTCCTAACCAGTGAACTTTCGTAACCAGTGAATTTTTAACCAGTGAACTTTCCTAATTCAAAGAGAATTGTTCTCAGTTGATAACAGATCAAGAGGTATGAACCAATTATTGTAAGCTCTCTCTCGGTCTCTCCGCGTTTTAGGGACGCGAACTAGACATTGTATTACCCGAACCTTGTTTTAATAAATTGTTAATTTTTTTTATGTTATATCTGGCCTCCTCGTTTACTCGTATATCGCCTGTCGTCTCACCGACGCGCTCCTCCCTCCGCCACTCGACCCGTTACTGCGGGGAAAAAAACCCTTCCACCCATCCTGACAGTGAAAAGGTTTAACAACCTGTTGCCGGATCGGGAGACCTACCCTTCCCTTCCCGGTGGTTCACAAATTGGTGTCAGGAGTGGGGTTCCGACTTCTTCGGAACTTCGGTGAGGCGGAAGAAAAAGGCCATATCCGAGTAACGCCATTGAATAGAATCAAGTTAAACATTTCCTACGGTAGAGACGTTAAGTAGAAATTAGTAGAAATAATGGAGCGCGAACCTCAACCTGCGGCTGGGCCAGGCAACCCCGATCGAAACCCTAATCCGAATCCAGCTCCTCTTACAATGGGAGGTCTAGGTGGCATCACACTTCTGTTACCCGTGTTTTCCGGTAAAGCAGGAGGCACCCGAGTAACAGACTTTTTCGATTCGTTAGCGGATGTGTCCAGATTAGTCGCCTGGTCTAAGGCCCAGATGCTGGCTGTGGCTAAGTTAAAACTAATGGGAATAGCCCGGGAATTCGTCAGAAAAGATCGCCGAATCAAAGATATTGAGGAATTTGAGGAGTTCAAACGTATAATGATAGAGCGTTTTGAACGCGAACCTTTCCCAGTCCGATTAAATAAATTTTATAGGGGAGACCGGGGCAAGATCGGCATGTTAAGCTTTACTTAAATTTTGTGTAATAAATACTGCTGTAAACTGAAAAAAAAGCTTTGCATATTGTCTATTGGAATGTTACCTTACTATAGAACTGGTTAAAATCAGTTTGGAAATAAAAATAATTAAAATAATTACAACTTTACAAGAAGAGTGAAATTGACGAAGTTGCCCCGTGTATAGGGGCAAGATCGGCAACTTCTCTCTTTTTGTAAACTTGTAATTATTTTAATTATCTTTATTAAAGTTGCCCCTGGTATAGGGGTAACAGTAATGGGGCAAGATAGGCACGTATATAAAATTATGTTATTAACAATGTATAAGTTTGAATTCACTATTAAAACAAAGAAATACAAATCCAACGTCCATTTAATCATTTAATTAGCCGTATTATAGCCCGATATTTAGGCGATCGTTTGGTGATGTATTTGGCCCATTTAATATTATTACAATGAAATGCAAGTTCAAAGACATATATACATGAATAACAAATGCAAACATGTTTTCATTTATCATCTGTTTGATTTTTATCCTTTGCTTCTAATGTGGCTTTATGTTGCCGATCTTACCCCGCTAGTCATGATTTCGAAACATTAAGTACAACCCTGAGAACAGAATGCCAAGCCACGATCTGGCCACGTGAATAAGTTGAAGTTACATCCTTCTAACAGGAAAAGTAACTTTCGTTATCATGGAATTATAACAAAACCTGCCAATTCAATATAAATGGAAAAAAAATATTATATGGAATTGAACGAAAATGAAAATTTGCTTGATAATTCAACTACGCTTGTTGGAGAACAATAAAAACACTATACTCAACAAGCCACCAATAAAACTCAACTGCCTAACCTATAACCAAATTCTCCTTTTAATTTGTTTTTAAAAAAAAGCGCTTGACAAACTTGCCCCGCATGCCGAAGTTGCCCCGATCTCCCCTACTTGCGTACAGAGACGAGATGAGGATGTACAAGCGTATGCTGCTCGTCTCCAATCTCTGGCCATAGAAATAGTGATTACACCGGAGCCCAGAGCCAATGAAGAGGAAACTAATATTATACAACGGGTCCAAGCCAAAGAGCTTGATGAAAGATTAAAAGCGCAGTTCCTAAACGGAATTGATTTGCGTATACGGCAGCGAACGATGTCACGAGAGCCTGCTACATTCGACGATGCGCTAAAGGCCGCTATTAGCGAGGAGATGATAGAAAATATTACAGCACGTCCACGGGGGATCCTGCGCACTGTTAGGGAAGGCGACCGAGCAACAAACTCCTCTCCATCACCCAATGACCTACAACAATTAACAGCAGCGATGGAGGAGTTGAAAACGCGAATGGACGGTTTAACTCGAGTCCCTTCTCGAAGCAACTCTAGGAATGTGCCGTTTAATCGAAATCAGCGAGGGAATATTAATAGTAGATCATATCCTACTCCTGCTTTTAGGCGTAACGAATATCGGTCGTATAGTCGACCTAATCAATCGAATAACCGACCTAACCAAAATCGGACACGGAATTTTCCTGCTCGCGGAGAAAATCATAATGAGAATCAAGGCGCCTGTCCACGAAACGACTCCCCACGGCGAAACGACGCAGGAACTGACCAAAATAGGGTCCGATTCCGATCGCAACCTACGGAACCAACGCAAAACCGTTGGAAAGGCCATGTTCAAAGCATCAAAGGACGACCTCAATTTTCTCCTCGAAACATATATTCTATATCTAACACTAATTATATAACGTCACTAAATGAGCCTATATTTGATTGTTCTATCGGAAGAACCCCTCCAGAGGATACCGAGACAAGATGGAAAGGACGAATAGGGTTCACTCGAATCGTTGAAACCCAAAACCCTATTATACAAATCTATGAGAATAATATTCCGGTTAAAATGCAAATTGACCCTCAAGTGGAATATACACTCATATCAAAGAACCTAGCCAACAGATTGAAGGGAAAAACGTACGTAAAATTTGGCCTTAAACAAAAATTAGGACCTATCCTGGGAAGGCAAACAACGATTATAGGAACGGCGAGGCTCACATTTAAATTAAGAGGCCAGAAATTTATGGTACCTTGCGATGTGGTACGAGACGATATTACTACTCCCTGCGACGGAATCTTAGGCCTAGATATCATAAAGGCGGCGAAACTGACATTTGACAGTGACCATGCCCAGGTGGTGCTGTCCCATGGAAAACAAATCCATTTTTGCACTTCTCAAAGGCCTCGCACAAGGAAGCGTAGATCAACTGAAAGGGAGAAATCTTCTATGGATATCCTCCAAATTAGACAAACAGTTCCCACCAAAAGAGAAAAACGGAGAACGAGACCAAACCGGAGAGCAAGAGCCCGGAAAAAATTCAAGCAACCTATAACTCCGCAAGATCACACAGAAGTGACCATCGAATCGCCCACCATAACCTCGGAAGAAAATTCATTAATGATAGCCTCACAACCACTTACGTTTTCCCAGGAGGACTTTAATTTAGCCTCCATAGTCCCGGAAAGCGAAATTGAGGGCAATGACACTGAGCAAGAATCGGAACCGGAAGGAGAACCAGAAATTCACTCCCTTTCTTTAATTAATAGTTAATAGTTAATAGAATATCGAATTGAAAGATTGTTTATGTCGAACATAAACGAAAAGTTTTTTTTTCCGTTAGGTTTCATTTTAAGTTAAAAGAAAATTTAATAACGTTTTTAGGCAAATACGGGACACTTAGTCGGCAAAATAATCGGTAAAAATTCCGAATCTCACAGAAACATCCGACGACGGCGTCATTCGAGAGCTTCCTACGGACTGACGACAGTGACAACGCGTGTCACGGGGGAGGAGTGCGGTGAAAAGCGAGTACAAGTGGCTGAGAGATAGAATCAGTGCCTAATCCTCGTTAATCGATTCAGAACGATTTTTAAATGTTTTTTTTTTTTTTGATAAAATAAATAATATTTGCGTATGGAACTAGAGCCGCAGCTTCACATCCAAAGAGCCGCATGTGGCTCGCGAGCCGCAGGTAGCCGACCCCTATCCTAGACCAACTACTTACAAACCTAAAGAATCGCTCTGATTCAGATGCAGGCTGATTTATCTATATGATTATTCAGTTTTAGCAAGCAGAAGATACTGATCCCCCTGTCAAATGTGCTGAGTTGATTGTATAGTACATATCGATTGTAATTGTCTAAGCACTGACATCTCGTAAGGAATACATCATAACTGCAACAGAAATCATATTCGTAAAATCGATATGTACTATACAACCAACTCAGCACATTTGACAGGGGATACACCGGGATACACCGTCTCCATGCTCATATAGGTGTATGGAGATGAAACACAGAGCAATCCATGGAGCTCTGTTCCATGCTCTGTGCATTCATTCGTGCCGTTTTTGTAATTATTGCATGTATGGCCGAGAGACATTTGCATATTTCCACGAGGTGCACCGATTTTTTTCTCGTATAAGTATACTTTTGTAAATTATTTGAAACTTTCGATTTTGAAAAGTATAAAATTAAATGAATTTAGCATTAAATAATTTTGTTTAATTATATAATAAATTTTCCAACTATTTAATATCATTAGTAATTACGTACGATTGAAACGTATGTAATTAGGTATTGATATGATTATATTAATAATTACTAAAAATGATAAAATTACGTTTTTATTAATGATATTTACCCGAAAACATTTCCATATTTTTCTAGCCATTCATCTAAGCATTTGTTTCTCTAAAACGAAATAAATTACATAAATATACAGTCGCAGTACTAAAATTTTAGCAATGCATAACAAAATTGATTACCTTTTTGTTATATTCTATTAAATTTCCAGTAATGAAATTGGGTTCAGGTCCAGGAATTCCATACCTCTGAAATATACACATTTGTCTTTTTCTCCATCTAGAAATATTGTAATGTTAAATTTTTTTTTCTGATAAAGAAATGTGATGATATTACTCGTGTGAAATTCTTATTAATCCTATAGTATAAACATTGTTAATTTCTTATTGAAAATAAAAATATTCTCTTTATAGATAAGTTATTTATTCTTAGAAATTTAGATAAAGAAAATGAATCACAACGTAAGTAAAATGAAAATTTAGTGTTAAATAAAAATATATTTAAATTAGTTTAGACTTGAAAATTTGTTTACTTGTCGTATAATAAATATATGTTTATATATTATCTTTTTATCTAATTATTTAACTCTCAAAAATATTCAAAAATATTTAAAATGCAAAATATAAATTAATGGACATATTTTTCCTGCATGGATATATTAAAAATCGAAGTTATTTTCATTCAAAATTTTGACACATTAAAGAATTTAACCCCTTAAGTCTCCATCCTCTCCCGTCATCTTGAAAAAAGCGTGAGAGCGGCGAGTAACCTTACTTTCGAACTTATTGTAGGGATATTTAACCAACAAGGCGGCAGGTATTTGCTCACACACCTTTACTTTAAAAGTATTTACTTACTATATTTACAATAACAGTGATTGAAAAACAAACATCACAAAAATCTACTTTTATAATTCAAGCCGGTATAAAAAGTGATTCCACCGAATTCTTATCTGAAACCAGGCTGAATTTTTACAAAACGTCTGTGATTACATCATAAATATTTCTTACAGCTTTACTATTTTTACGACGACATCTTCATTTAGTGATATTCAAACTCTTATTTCAGAGACAGTCTCATGCTCAGAGTTTGATTTGGTTTTATTTATATAGGCAACGCGACACATAAGCGATCTGTCGAGAGGAATGTTCCTAGGAGTACTTTTATGGGAAACTGGTCCGTATTTAGGTGTTACTAAAGTAAAGAGAATCCGGAAAACTCCACGTGGCCAGTCCGTTGGTCAGGCATGAACTCACGACCAGTATTTAGTGGTTTTAATTCTAGCACTGACTATATCATTAAAATGTTTTCTGATCCTTAAGATAGGATCGAATTACGAACGTTAAAACTAAAATTCCTAAATAAATTATAATTAGTTAATTGTTTAATTTCAAAATTTAATGTAACCATATATAATAAAATAAACAATTAGCTACTTTTTGGAGAAATCAAGATAATAAAACTTAATTGACTTACAAATCTTTTATTTTTAATTGTATAAGAGGGGAAAAATTTTGTAAATAAATGACGAATACTCCACCTCACCTTATCCAAAATGAAAGAAGACACACGAAAACGGCCAATAAAATTAATATGGACGACATCTTAAAACCTTCAAGAATTTATATAATTGATATCAATTATATAAATCTCTTTCTATTCGATCGAGATCGAACTGATGAATCTAAACGAACGAGAATGATACATTATTTTAATGTTTAAAGTTCATCGTAAGAATAATTACTTCCTTAAAAATGTTAAATATACTTATTTAATAACTTATAAAAATATATAAAGTTAGTCTATATTTTATGTTAACATTATTGTTGTATATTCTAAAATACTGCAGTAAAATGATACTAAAATATATTGAGATTTATTACAACAGAATAGAATATCCTGGATATGTTTTATTAATGTAAAAATGTATAATGTAAAAATACAAGCAGTAAATGCTTATATAATGTAAATATAAGCAGTAAATGCTTACATTTTTACATTATATTACAGTATAATATTATGGGGACTTAGGAACCGTCAAAATCGAGATCCGGAAGTTATAGGTAGGGATCCTGCTACCAGGTGTGTATTATCGAACACGCCTTCGATTTATACTCTATAAAAGACAGAAAAGTAAGGCGAGAGGGTAAGAGTCAATCCGAAGTCCTGGAATGAGTCTCTCAGGAGGATCAATGTAAAATCAATAAAACCAACTTACGAATAAAAAAGATAATTTATTATAAAAAGTATACTGTAACACTAAAATTAAGTTTAAAATTAATATTAAATACAAAGTCTGTCTATAACAATATGCCAGCATCCGTATAGACGAAGTCTATCCTCGGAAGTTAGCCTATTTCTATACTATTAAACCTCGGGGTACCTACTGGGGGCTAATTATAATTATACACAAAAACAGGAAAAAATTACAAAATACGAAAGAAAACAGAATAATATGTATATTCAAATCTATGCAATAAATTGGAGTACTTTAATAAATAAAAACATCGCTAAAAATTGCAAAATCTACCTGCAGATAGAATATAATGCCTTTTACCTGATTCGACTGAATTTGAAACATATTTATATATATATATATTTTTTTATTTTTATGTATAGCAGATACTGGACCTATTCGTTATAGCACGAGACGATGAGGAAAAGTTATTCCGTGTTGATACTGCATTTACTGCCTACTTTAGTTTTGGACTATATTTTGCTTTATATCTTAGGATTCCATAAGCTAAAAATTTTGGAATTAGTCAGGAATAATTTTGTAGATATGAATTTATTCTTTTACATTTTGGAAAGCTAATTGGTTTTTAGAGAATTATTCGTTCCGTTCACTAACCATTTTAATTCAATTATAAAGAAAGAACAGTTTACAAATCGATTTACCGGCACTTTTCGGATCCAGACCTTCGGCAATTGTAATTGTTTACTTTGCCTAGGCCTAACACTTCCCCTGTTTTTACGAAAACATTCGAACACACCTTAATTATTTCTATAATAGTACAGAAAAATCACCCGATTGAAAAACTCGTTGCCAAATAGTCAAGTGGCTTGAAATATCACCAGATCTAGCAACAATGCTCGCACGTTGCTCATACATTTCTAAAAACGCGTCCATATACGATTTTTTAAAATTCAAACAGGATAAGCGAAAGCTCGCTCTGTGTTCGGGCAACCGTCACAACTGAATTACTTAAAATAAGACTGAATTCCAGTTCACACGACTGATAGTTCGATGCGAGAACTCGGCGTAGGTAAATACATGGAAGAAAATGGAACAACGTTACACTGACGAGTTACTACAGTGGTGACTCGTCAGTGTAGCATTGTTCCATTGTCCACCTGTGTCCAGACAATCTATGAAAATTGCCAGCCAGACGCGCATCTAGTTCACCGTGTCTATATCGAACACGTCAAGTACAGTAGTTAAAACGTGCACACGAGCGTCCACGTCACAGCTGATGACGGTCATGGCAGATAAAATTAATATCGATATCTAACTTTTCATCAATTACCCCTCGTGTGTATTGGCTAGATACTTTCCTCGTAAAAATATCGCTGGTGGGTGTGCACCGACGTTTATACGGTAAACATATTCTGTTAGGATGTTTAAATCCGTTCTTTTCAACGAAAATCTAATAATTATAATAAAAATTATTTTATAATGTAATAAAATGTATTAGATTGGTTCTTCGGTGTGACAAACCCTTACGTAAGATAACCTTCAGAGTAATATAAACAAAAAATAAAGGGGAAAACGAACTTATCTAAAATATATTTTATCAAATATTAGTTAAATAATTAATTTGATCAAATAAGAAAATTTACAATTATGTAAATATTATAATATAAAATCTAGTGTATCGTTAATTTTTTTATACCCTTGATTTACATTTATCGCTTGTTTATTAGCAGCATCGAGTTAATTTAGACTTTGAATTTTGGTTGCAGAAAATAATAATTGATAAATAATAATCTTATCTTTATTTGTAGATAACATTATATATAATATCCTTAATTATTAACATCAAATTGAAATTAACAACAATACAATGATTGACAATTAATTTAGATGATTTATTTAAATTATAGAAAAATCATTAATGATGCCTCTTAGATATACAAAACAGTCCGAAACGGAAAGAAACAGTTATTAAATATCAAAAATCTAATGAAATGAAAGTTGTAATAACTATTAACAATATGAATTTGAAAATACCAGTTGATAAAAATAAAATTATATGTAAATGATATAAAAGATACCATTTTCGAATTGATATGACTGTAAGCAAAAAATCATAGGAATTAACTTTATTTTGGAATTACTGTATAAGAATTGTTTAGTAATGATTTATGTAATTATTTATTTAATTGCAGGAATTTTTAAGGAATTATTTATTTATTTTATTCTATTTTATTTGTAGCATAATCTTATATAAATGTCGTACTTGAAACTCATTTGCAGAGGCAGATGAAACTCAGCCATGGAAAATTTAGCACTGTGAGCAGAGAGACAGTCAAAATAGTGTAAACACTAAGATGGTGGTTATGAAACAAATGAAGTAGAAACCTAAATACAGTGGGTGATCGGTTAACGAACATAATTCGTTCTAAGACTTTGTTCGCTATCCGAATTGTTCGTTAACCGATTATCAGTTTACCATAGATTTGTATGGGAATTTGATTAATTCGTTCTGGAGACCACAAAAAATAAAAAATATATACTTTCTTACTACGTTTTTTTATATGTAATAATAAAAATACATATATAGGCCTACACAGACTTGCATTTTTATTAGTCATGTTTTTTTGTTTGTGGGGGGTTAAATAATCTGTCTAATGTTGATTGCTTTTCTCCCTTCTTCAGGATTTTCAGAATTAATAGTATTGTAATTGTAGAGATCTCCAAGCCTATGGTTTGTATGCCATTCTAAGACCGTTGATCTGACATCCCCACTTCTTCAAAAGATCTTTAAATAATAGCAGATATCGGCATTAATCCTCTTTTTCATAATAAAACATATCTCGCCGAAGTTTCTTAGTTTTCTTCATTCAAGAGTTCTTCTGTCGTCAGATCCGTTTCAGATTCCATTATGAGCTCTTCAATGTTCTTTATTTCTCAGATGTGATATTTGTTACTCCTTTAGCTGCTTGAGTTTTCTTAATTATACTGTATCTTTCTTAGCTAACATTGAACTGCGCACTACTGTAGATTTGTTCAAGCCATACTGCCCAGCAACATCAGACATCTGCCTACTCTCTACCTTTGCTATTATACTCTCACCTTTCGAAAATAAAAACCGACGCAAAACTTAATGAGTGCCCGTCCGATAGTCTCGCGAATACTATAAAAGAATTGTTTGTCAGAAAAATAAAAGGCTGGAATTACAAGAGAGTATTTCAAAGTTCGAGGAATACTATCTGATCAGTATATATCGGGTTGAGCGTCGACGTTGACGTCTCCCGCACTCCAAAAAGTTACCTGAAGACAAAGGAAAATCAATCGGTATTTGCTATTTCCGTCGCTTCTTTTTATGTTTGTTCAGTGAAGTGTTCGTTATCCGATCACCCACTGTATTAAGTATAGAAAAAAATTATTATTCTCTTGACTGACACAAAAATTATGTTAAGAATTGTTGCCGACATTAATGCAGTCTAGAACAAAAATCGTTCATGTGTCTTCCATTTTGATATTCCAAAAATTGTATTCGATAAACAATGCACTCATTGACAGATCGCAATTGGTTTACAATAATTCTTTCACAAGTTGTGTTATTCTGTTTTCAAAGTTGTTCAGTTTGAAGCACTCCTAAAAATGTCTTGCTTTTCGGGTGTCACTAAAAATGAAAATCAGATTTTCAGTTGTAAACGAAGTAGCAAATCTACTGTATCTTGGATGAAACCTTGTCTTAGTAACCTGTGATGAAACCTGTTCTAAATTCCGTCTAATAAGTATATAGCTTATATAATAAAAATGATTTAACAAATATATTTTCACTACTGCAAGTGAGGGACAACAAACGTTTAACATCTCGTGAAACCATTGTGTATTAAAGGCGTATTTTATAACTTACAGGTCTAATTAGACAATTCTATTTTTATAAAAAGAATAGAACCTATTATAAAATTCGTTGTAAGCTCACACTGTACAGTATGTTTTGAAGAATTCCAATAAATTTACTGGATAGTCTGAAAAATTTCTTCATTACATTACTCATAGTTTTGTATTTAGTGAAAATGAACTTCTGTTTTCTGTTTCCTATACAGATAAAAATACAATAGTTTACGCAAAATTTTTCAGTGTTGTATAAGGAATATCTAATTGCGTTGCTGTTGCACGTGTATTGCTATAAATTATTGAATTATCTATTAATCGCACCACGACATCAGTGCAAAAGTTTCAGCCTGGGGACAAATCAACTTCTTTGTGGTCTCATACCTAAATATCCGATAACTTTGCCTCGAGCAATCATTCTTCTGAAAGATACGGTTTGAATAAGCGTTTCAGTTTTCATAATTGCGAAAATTGTAAGAATAGCAGAAGCACATCAATAGCATTATTTTTGTTTTGATAATATAGCTTCATTCAGAAATTACATTCAAGCAACATGAGGGCTATTGTGATTTCAATGTCAAAATATGTCAGGAAAGGTCTCTCATCTCTCTTAATATTTACTAACCACTTATAAAAGTTGTACTATAAAGTTGTGGCGAAGTGTTAGAATTTCTCTGATCGCAACTTCCTTCTAACGTCTCCTAATGAAAATATTTTATGCATAATTCAAATAATACTTTTACTTCAGTTGAATTTAAACGTCTATACTATTTCATCTGCAGAGGAGTTTAAATATGTCTTTTAATTACGAACATACTATATGTACTGTACTATTCAGCACATATTTTTATTGGTGAATAGGCCTATATAATTTTCTCTGTCATAATATAGAAAAATCAATATTCATTTTTTAATATTTCATACGAGTAAGTTTTCCAACTACAATCTATTTGGTTGTTATTTCAAATCAACAGTGTGTTTAACTCAGGGCCATGTATATGGATAGTTGGAAAACTTGAACTCTGTTCTTGAAATAATTAAAAATTAAAAAAAAAATACAAAAAACGCTTAAAACCTTTATTATAAAAATTCATAAACTGCGATATAACAAAATAACGTTATTTTTTAAATGCCTACACTTAGGCTGTGTACACACTAGGCGTTTTGCGTTGCGNATAGAAAAATCATTAATGATGCCTCTTAGAAATACAAAACAGTCCGAAACGGAAAGAAACAGTTATTAAATATCAAAAATCTAATGAAATGAAAGTTGTAATAACTATTAACAATATGAATTTGAAAATACCAGTTGATAAAAATAAAATTATATGTAAATGATATAAAAGATACCATTTTCGAATTGATATGACTGTAAGCAAAAAATCATAGGAATTAACTTTATTTTGGAATTACTGTATAAGAATTGTTTAGTAATGATTTATTTAATTATTTATTTAATTACAGGAATTTCTTAGGAATTATTTATTTATTTTATTCTATTTCATTTGTAGCATATTCTTATATAAATGTCGTAATTGAAACTCATTTGCAGAGGCAGATGAAACTCAGCCATGGAAAATTTAGCACTGTGAGCAGAGAGGCAGTCAAAATAGATGGAGGTTATGAAACAAATGAAGTAGAAACCTAAATACAGTGGGTGATCGGTTAACGAACATAATTCGTTCCAAGACTTTGTTCGCTATCCGAATTGTTCGTTAACCGATTATCAATTTACCATAGATTTGTATGGGAGTTTAATTAATTCGTTCTGGAGACCACAAAAAATAAAAAAATATATACTTTCTTACTATGCTTTTATATGTAATAATAAAAATACATATATACACAGACTTGCATTTTTATTAGTCATGTTTTTTGTTTGTGGGGGTTAAATAATCTGTCTAATGTCGATTGTTTTTCTCTCTTTTTCAGAATTTTCAGAATTAATAGCATTGTAATTGTAGAGATCTCTAAGCCTACGGTTTGTATGCCATTCTAAAACCGTTGATCTGACATTTCCACTTCTTCAAAAGATCTTTAAATAATAGCATATATCGGCATTAATCCTCCTTTTCATAATAAAACATATCTCGCCGAGTTTCTTAGTGTTCTTCATTCAAGAGTTCTTGGAGTTCTGTCGTCAGATCTGTTTCAGGTTCCATTATGAGCTCTTCAATGTTCTTTATTTCTCAGATGTGATATTTGTTACTCCTTTAGCTGCTTGAGTCTTCTTAATTATACTGTATCTTTCTTAGATAACATTGAACTGCGCCCTACTGTAGATTTGTTCAAGCCATACTGCCCAGCAACATCAGACATTTGCCTACTCTCTACCTTTGCTATTATACTATCACCTTTCGAAAATAAAAACCGACGCAAAACTTAATGAGTGCTCGCCCGAGTCTCGCGAATCCTATAAAAGAATTGTTTGCCAGAAAAATAAAAAGCTGGAATTACAAGGGAGTATTTCAAAGTTCGAGGAATACAATCTGATCAGTATATATCGGGTTGAGAGTCGACGTTGACGTCTCACGCGCTCCAAAAAGTTACTGAAGACAAAGAAAAATCAATCAGTATTTGCTATTTCCGTCGCTTCTTTTTATGTTTGTTCAGTGAAGTGTTCGTTAACCGATCACCCACTGTATTAAGTATAGAAAAAAATTATTATTTTCTTGACTGACACAAAAGTTATGTCAAGAATTGTTGCCGACATTAATGGAGTCTAGAACAAAAATCGTTCATGTGTCTTCCATTTTGATATTCAAAAAATTGTATCCGATAAACAATGCACTCATTGACAGATCGCAATTGGTTTACAATAATTCTTTCACAAGTTGTGTTATTCTGTTTTCAAAGTTGTTCAGTTTGAAACACTCCTAAAAATGTCTTGCTTTTCGGGTGTCACTACAACTGAAAATCTGATTTTCAGTTGTAAACGAAGTAGCAAATCTAATGTATCTTGGATAAAACCTTGTCTTAGTAACCTGTGTTGAAACCTGTTCTAAATTCCGTCTAATAAGTACAGTATATAGCTTATATAATAAAAATGATTTAACAAATATATTTTCACTACTGCAAGTGAGGGACAACAAACGTTTAACATCTCGTGAAACCATTGTGTATTAAAGGCGTATTTTATAACTTACAGGTCTAATTAGACAATTCTATTTTTATAAAAAGAATAGAACCTATTATAAAATTCGTTGTAAGCTCACACTGTACAGTATGTTTTGAAGAATTCCAATAAATTTACTGGATAGTCTGAAAAATTTATTTATTACATTACTCCTAGTTTTGTATTTAGTGAAAATGAACTTCTGTTTCCTATACAGATAAAAATACAATAGTTCACGCAGAATTTTTCAGTGTTGTATATGGAATATCTAATTACGTTGCTGTTGCACGTGTATTGCTATAAATTATAGAATTATCTATTAATCGCATTACGACATCACTGCAACAGTTTCAGCCAGGGGACAAATCAACTTCCTTGTGGTCTCATACTTAAATATTTGATAACTTTGCCTCGAGCAATCATTCTTCTGATAGATACGGTTTGAATAAACGTTTCAGCTTTCATAATTGCGAAAACTGTAAGAATAGCAGAAGCACATCAACAGCATTATGTTTGTTTTGATAATATAGTTTCAGAAATTATACTCAAGCAACACGACGGTTATCATGATTTCACTGTCAAAATATGTCAGGAAAGGTCTCTCATCTCTCTTAATATTTACTAATCATTTATAAAAGTTGTACTATAAAGTTGTGGAGAAGTGTTAAAATTTCTCTGATCGCAACTTCCTTCTAACGTCTCCTAATGAAAATATTTTATGTATATTTCAAAGAATACTTTTACTTCAGTTGAATTTAAATGTTATTTCATCTGCAGAGGAGTTTAAATATGAGTCTTTTAATTACGAACATACTATATGTACTGTACTGTTCAGTATATATTTTTATGCGTGAATATATATTTTTCTCTGTCATAATATAAAAAATAAATATTCATTTTTTAATATTTCATACGAGTAAGTTTTCCAACTACACTCTACTTGTTTGTTATTTCAAATCAACAGTGTGTTTAACTCAGGGCCATGTATATGGATAGTTGGAAAATTTGAACTCTGTTCTTGAAAAAATTAAGAATTAAAAAAATACAAAAAACGCTTAAAACCTATATTATAAAAATTAATAATCTGCGATATAACAAAATGAAGTTATTTTTTAAATGCCTACACTTATAAAAATCCTATTAAAAATTTATTGCTTGTTCCTCCACGATGTCTTTGATATGCTCGATTTGTCTCGTGGCTTGTTGAAAATTCTTTTAAAAATTAAAAAAATATAACACGCTCTGCATATGAGTTGTGTCGAAATGAGAATAAAATTCGACTTATTGAGTGTCAATTTTATAATGAGAGTCAGCTTATCAGAGATAATTATATGTTCTCTGTCTTAAGTTAGTTATATTAGATTAATAGGCTATATACAAGAAAACATTCGTTAATTTATTTATAATATTATTGACACAAAAAATAAATATTTATTTGTGAACAATTTGAAATAAAGCAAATTGTATAGAATGAGAAACAAAGAATAGGAAGACCTCGAATACTAGTACTTATGCAATCGAAAGGAATTGACATTATTATAAAATAGTATATTTTTTCTAAATGTGTACTTTACTGTACATTTAAATTCGATATTCAAATACATCTAATATTATACGTAACAATCTTTGATCGATTTGTTTTCGTTTTCTGTTGTTTTCTCTCGATAATAGTAAAATCTATATTATTATAATAAATATTTACCTTTAGTCTGTACGAGTAAATTGATGTTCGATTCATAAAATAAACGAAAAATAATCTGAGACGCAATAATAAAGACTTCTGATAAACATTTGACATATGAAGCAACTTAAATAAACAGATATATACAAGGTCATTGGGAAAGATTGGGCATAATAATTACGCCTATTATAAGAATTATCTTCATTCAGAAGATAACTAAAATTTTCCTGTTTGTCATTGATCATTTACTACACTTTAGAAAAATAAATTAATAAACAAAATACAAGTGCTGCCTATCTATCCGTCGTATCAAATTAAAAGAAGAGTCTTCTTCTAATTTAGGCAGTAAGCCGCCGTGGTACAGTCCATGTAAAGTGACATTAGCCCGCCAGAATATGCATTTTGTAACATCTACTTTGAAAATAATTAATCTTAAGTTGGGTCACAGACTGTTTCTACACTGTGTTCTATATTTGTCTAATTCTCATCTACGAATTCTTTTCTAGGTTTTTGTAATATATAGTATTACATTACGTAATATATATTGTTACAAGAGTAACGAACGACCAAGCTAATGTAAACAAAGCATATACACAACTAACCAAATAATTTATTTATAACTCTTTCTGCCCCGTGAGAACTAAAAAAGCTGCTTATAGCAAGCTCATTATGGGTTCGGCCAGGCCCACAATGATGGACCACAAACTGAAAATTATTTGATGAACAGGCAGACGGAACAAGAAATATATATATCAAATACATATATAATTTAAAATACAATAAAATTTCTAACTTATTATTTAAGGAAATAAATGTTAAAAGTAAGTTAATTAAAATTAAAATTATATAAGATAATGTTAATAATAATTCAAGAATATATATATTCTTGAATTATTATTCCAATTTTTGCAATAAATTTGAGCACTTTAATACATAAAAAAATCGCTAAAAATTGACCAATCGGGCATTCGTCCCTTACCGAACAGAATAGATAAGTTAATAAATTTAAGAAAGCCCACCAAGTGGCCATGAACCAAGGTCTGTAAACACGAGGTTAGGACATCAAAGTTTTTTATGGTGCCGCCATATTGGTTCCTTAGTTTCGAAGTCACGGTATAGATTTCATGCTCTGTTCTTGCAGTAAAAACTGCACGTTGACTTTGATTTCAAGTCAAGAAATTCTTTTATAATTTCAATTAGAATATCTTTTCATTTAGAGGTTACTCTGACATATAATTAAAGGTATTAACTAAATAGGTTTCAAAATAAAAAGCTATGTCGATGGTTCGTATGATACAGTATAAATTTATTTAGTTTTGAAATGCAAAGTTAGAGTAGAAATTTGGAGATACTTGTTAAAATTAGAATATATTTAATTTTTTATATTCACATGCATTTTACATTACACAAACTGCAAACAGAAGCATCCGAGTAACATTTTTATAAATTAAAATCTTCAAAAGTGTTTGCAAGAGATAATAAGAAAGTTCCTAAATGAGGGAAGTTATGCATATAAACCAAATTTAATTACTTTTATAGAAAACTAGCTTACCCGTCGAGCATTGCTGCGATCTCAGAAGAAAGGAAATTCAAGCAAACTCGTTACGATAAAATTCAATTTACATTTTATCATTTTTATTGAAACTTATTATTATTATTATTATTCATTTTCATCGGGAAAACATTTCAAAGTGTCGTTTCAATTCTATTTATTTATTGGAGTGCTTGTGGATACACGATATTTTTTGTTTTTTCGTCTGGTGCGTACACGAATAAATTGGAAGGTTTTCTGACGCNTGAAGTTATTCGATTTGTGGATCGAAGAGAAAGTCTTGAGAGTTGAGGAAAAGGGTTCCTAGTATATTGAGGTGACGATTAGGACCTTTAATTTATAAGAATTATTGTACATAAGTTAAGTCTTTGAATTTTGTCGAATTCCAAAGGGGAATAGAATTAAGTTAGAAAAATAGATTTGATTTGAGTTTTGTGGGGTTGATTCTTATTGATTTTCATTGAATAAATTGTTACTTGATTTTTACTAAATTTTGTATATAGTTATTATCAGAATATTTATTAAATATTTGATTTGATTTATTATTGACAAACTTTGTCGTCATTTAATTCGGTGCACGCTTAAAGTCCAGGCCTGGCACACTAACGCGAATCTGCGTAAAGTACCCGTTAAGCTTAGTTCACACTGAACGCGATTCGCTACCGAAAGCGAATAACACGTCAGACATGACGTCGTTTCCGGCAAATTTTACCATTTCGCGAATCGCTTCAAAGTTCGGAGCTGTCGAGTTTTTTCGCTGGCGAAAAAATTTCGCACCAATCGTATTCACGCTAGTTGTCACGTGGTTCTTGTTTTCAAGATGGCTAGAGAAACTTTCTCACACAATATATTACATGTTGTAATTACGGATTTTAATATTTCTCTCACCCAACATCGTTTTCTTTTTTACTTATTCTTCTTTCTCAATAAATAAACAAATGTGGTTAACGACGGAATATCGGAAGCGGCCATTTTGTTTTTCGAGATGACGTTTTCACTCGCTTGTAAATGATTGGCTGCTTAAAAATTCGCAATCGCTTTTCCCTTTTGGTTGTAGGGTTAATTTCGCTAAGCGAATAAAAATCACTTTTTTTTGCGTTTCGCTTTCGCTATTCGCTCAGTGTGAACTAAGCTTTAGGGAACGGCTATTTCCGACACAGTTGTGTCGATAATCGTTCTAGAAAGTCGGAAAAATAATCTACTTTACAATGGTTTGTATGATATAGTACGAGGATAAATTTGTTTAGTTTCGAAATACAAAATTAGAGAATAAAGTTGGAGTTATTTCTTAAAATAAGAATATAGCCTATTTAGTTTTCTATATTCGCATGCATTGCATTATAGGAACTGCAAACAGGAACATCAGAGTAAACATTTTTATAAATTTAAAATTAGATGATGAAGAGAACCATTCTCACAAACTTTATAAAACTTTATATTATGTAAAGTAAATCTTCAAAAGTGTCATCAAGAGATGATAATGTTCCTAAATGAGGGAAGTTATGCATATAAACCAAATTTAATTACTTTTATAGAAAACTAGCTTACCCGTCGAGCATTGCTGCGATCTCAGAAGAAAGGAAATTCAAGCAAACTCGTTACGATAAAATTCAATTTACATTTTATCATTTTTATTGAAACTTATTATTATTATTATTATTCATTTTCATCGGGAAAACATTTCAAAGTGTCGTTTCAATTCTATTTATTTATTGGAGTGCTTGTGGATACACGATATTTTTTGTTTTTTCGTCTGGTGCGTACACGAATAAATTGGAAGGTTTTCTGACGCGTGAGCCGGCCACATACAGTTGTCCATGCGAGAAACACGGATTCGCTAAATTTAGCCCACATACTCGCAGCGATTGTCAGAAGCGCGATATTTCCCATATATATATATATATTAATCCTTTACAATTTTAATTATTTAATTGCTCCTATTTCTTTTCCTTGGCATGTTGTGAAATTTCTGATAGTCGGATAATAAACCGTTTTATTGTAATTTGTCTTTTTAAATTATTTTGAGTCGATATTAAAATTTGGAAAAGGGGGATACCTAGATCGGTAAAATACGCGAATTTCTTCCTACAACTGTTGTTCGGGGTACAGTTAAGGTTTTAACGAAGTTCGAGCGAATACATAATTAGCAAAAAAAAAAAGTTGAAATAAAGTGATTAAACAAAAATTATTACAAATATCGTAAATAACAGTTCACAAATGCATATATAGAGATATTTTTTGAAGGGAGGGAAATGGTCTTCACAATTTGAAATCGATCGAACACATACTACTCGAGTGCTCGTGTAAACGCGCGCCATCTATCGTAGGATAAATGCGAGAAACCTTTGCGGGAGTGTATTAAAAACTTTCCAAAGCTTCATGGCGATTGCCATGAAGCTTCCTTCACAGAAACCTTCATAGGAGTATATTAAACAACTTCACAAAGTTTCATGGCAATCGGATAAACAGTGTGGTAATGCATGAAGGACACACACACACACACATACATTCATTTTTATATATATAGATTAATTCAGTATATTTATAAAAATTTATTAAACAGTAGACAATACCAACAAATAGAATTGCTAAATTCAACTTTATTTATTCTGTTATTTTATAATAAAATGATTATTAAGTAACATAATCATTCATTTAAAATATTTAATTTATACCATATTCTCAATTATTATAAAATATTAATTTAAATGACTGAGAGTTTTCATTTCAATTACCTGTATTTTATTTTAAATTTTGAAGTATATTTTCAATCCACAAACAACATATTATAACATTTATTCTGTTTAATAAGTCACATTATGTTGCTATATTACCAGTCAGAATAAAACTACTACAAACACAGTCTTTAGATTGGTGCTGATCCAAGTACCATATGTTAATGCTGTAATTACAAATACACTATTAAACCATTGAAAACCTCAAACTTCTTTAGCTAAAACTTACAAAGTATAGTGCAAAGATACTATATTTTATATCCTGATATATATATATATCCTGAGTCCACCATGAAATACTATATTTTATTTGTAAATTGAAAAAGTGAATGAAATTAGTCTTTGCAGTACAAAGATAGATTTTATTTTGAAATTCAAAATCTGAAACTTATTTAATGAAGATTACAGTATTACAGTACAAAGTTAGATTATATTTACCATATGCAGTTTTCGTCCTTTTTATTATTTCTTTAATAATTAATGAAGATTTCGAGCATTGTAGTATTGTAGATGGCTAGATTTTACTTATAAACTATGAAGAAAATACATTGTCAGTGTTTTTTACTATTTAGTTTAAAACGAACATTACTGTTTATGGAAAAGTTTTACCCATAAATTTAAAAGTTTCCAAATATTGTAACTAGAAATATAATTTAAAAAAAAAAAAAAAAAAGACATATCAACATTTATTTAAGATATTTACGATAATTTACATATCTATTTTTACGACTAGCAGCAATAATTTTCTCTTGTCTGCTCTTTTAACTTTAAATTGTGATTCCTCAAAATGTATCTGAAAGATTCAGTTATTACAAACACTTCGTAAATTTGTATTTTCAACATTATTTTATTTACTAATCTTAAGCAGCCTCGAATTATCAGTTCTTTACACTTGGTTCATCTGTAATATTGAAGTCGTTTTGCTCTCCTAGTTTTATTAGCGAGAACAATCTTACGCCTTTTGCTGACAAAATCTTACAATTAGGTGCCTGACACCAAACCATTTAAAATATAGATAACAAAAAATACAGTTAATTGAGATCGAAAAAAAAAGCCAAATTCGCTCTATAAACACCGTATATACTACCACAAAGAAACCAATATGGCGATTGCCACAATGCATTACAGTATTGCTTGTGTTTACAGACCTTGCTTAAACGGATCAGATAAATGACATTGCAAAACAAATACCGCTGTAAAAACATCTTTCTCGTGCATTTTCTTTTTTTTCTTTGTTTTTGTTTTTTAAATATAAAAATTGTTTGAATTATAGAATTAATATGAAAGGAATAAGCTTTCCATTTGCAAAAAATTTTTAAAAATCGGATTCAGTAGATTCCGAGATTATCTCCAACAAACAAACAAACAAACATTCTCGCTTTATATATTAGTATAAACCTAAATATATATACGGTACAATTCTGAAATAAATACGTAATAAATCATATTACTAACAACTTTGCTATATTTAATGACGTAAAAATAAAAGCACGTATATAAGCTTTTATATAGCCTGTAACTTATATTACAGTTTATATTTATTTTTCAAATTAGATTATATTATAAGTACTTGCAATTGTATAGAAAAAATATTTAATAAATTCGTTGGTTTTAAAATCTAAGAAAAAAATTACACGAGAAACATTTAATATCAGTATATAGAGTATTCGTGTGAAATTACAATTTAACAAACAATATAAACATCATTGTAAAATTCAGATATAAACAGAATATTTTAAAAATTCATTTATAAAATATTTTACGAAGATATTGCGGCTGTCTTTACGATAATTCCATTTTTTGGACGGGGTACAAAAAGCGAAAACTCTTCTTCGACTTCCTAAAACAAATTATTAATGTACTGTACATAGTTTACGATAAAATAACACATATCTCGTGTATTAAATTAAATACAGTATTTAAACAGAAATATTTTGAAAATAGGCTTTTATTTACCAAATACTCGCAAGGTTCTAATTTGTAGTTCCTTATGAGATTAGCCAAAGTTAATTTCATAATTGTTTGAGCCAGTCTCATTCCTATGCATCCTCTTGGACCGGATCCGAAAGGTTGATATATCGATGGATCTATTAGTCCTGCATTCTTAGATGAAAATCTGTAAATCATCGAAATATTAATTAATTTAAAAATGAGAAACTAAAAACAAAAAAAAACATTTTTTTTCAATATAAATCAATATGCCATTATGTCAAACCTATCAGGGTTGAAATTTTCCGGTTCTTTCCAATATGTGCAGTCTTTATGCAAATTCGGTACTGGAATCATAACTGTAACTCCTTTTGGAATAGTTATATTCTTATAATGGAAATTTTCCGAACATATTCTATTGACTGTACTATTTATAAATAAATTGTTAATTAGTTAAAATAATTGGACAAATATTTTGTTTAAAAATAAAATATACTTCTAGGTGATAATATTTACGTTGATGAAAGAGGACGAAGACGTAAAGTTTCTGATATTATTTGATCCAANTATAATCAAAAGCAATAGAGTAACATGTTAGAGTTTTTATAGTTCAGAAATATTTTGAGATCTCAAAAAATTACTTGCATCCAGGCTTATTTCTGGTGAAGAAATAAGCCTGGATAGTTCTTTCTACAGACACTTAACACCTGCTCTTTAATTATGATCACCCTTATTTTATTACCATGTGTTTGTGAATTATTACTTGATAACACCTTCAAACAATTTATGAATTTTTCAGTGGTTAATTGGAATGTTAATGACTTACTGTATATTTTGATTATTAGATTTTTTAAACGAATTCTATTAACATGGGTTCTTTTGCTTGTAATTTATACCTATTTTAAAATTACAAAATGTGTCTATCAGCATAAAGTAGTCAAATATATTAGTGTTTTGTCCTTTTATTATTATTAAGTGAATACGTGAGCACTAATTTTTGGCTCTCAGGAGGACTTATCAGACAATATTGATGCAACAAGAGAAATAGGCCAAAGAGGGTCAAATCGACTGTGTGAAACTCATACCGTTGTTACAGTAAATACAGTACACTTAGCGTTCATATATTCAGTTATATTAGTTATTTTATATTCAATTATATATAAGTTAAATTATATTTATTAGTAAAACTAACATAAACTTGTATGGATAGGAACCACTAAGGCCAATTAGGTTTTCTCCAGGCCCTGGAAAAAATCACCTTCTCGATGGCTTTAGGGTTCCGTCCCACACCACTTTCCGCCTCATTGTCAGCTGGCGGAACCTATAATGGACATGATTAAAAAGGCCCTCTTAGTGCCCCCAGGGCTAAAAGAGTATAAAAATAAACCCTTAATAAAGAGTAAAGACACACTGGTGACGACAAATGAAGTAAGCAGCAATCGAAAGTTACGTGAGAGAAATTCTGCCATTTGTAATTACTGGCTAATTCACTGCTTTCACGATGGCTACAACTGACATTTCCTATAAACAAGCGATTTAGATAAGCTGACTAGCAATGGGAACATGGAAACCATGATCATGTAATCACTATCACTGTAAGTTTATTCTATTTCAAACAGAATTTAACATTAAATGTGACTTTAAATAATTTTATTAAAAAGTATAATAAATGTTTAAAAATTTTAATTAAGTGCGATTGATACATATGTTATTGATAAATTTGATTATATCTACTGAAAATGATAAAATTGCATTTTTATTACTGATATATTTACCCAAAAACATCTCCATATTTTTCTATCCATTCATCGAAGCACTTGTTTCTCTAAATCAAAGTATAAGTTGCATAAATATAAAATCTTAACTGTGAAATTTTAACAATGCATAAGAAAATTGATTACCTTTTTGTTATATTCCATTGCATTTCCAGTAATGAAATTGGGTTTAGGTCCAGGAATTCCATATCTCTGAAATATACTCATTTGACTTTTTCTCTGGCATTTTTCCAATCTTCATCAAGTTGTTTTGTAAGTGCTTTGAATACAAGATTATGTGGAATTCCTCCATCTGGAAGTAACAACTGAAATAATAAACAACAAAATATCAATATGGTAAATAAGTCTTTAAGTTTAATTTAAAACTTAGGCTTAATGTCACAAGAGCAGATATTTATAAATATTATGAATGTATAAAAAAATCTGATTCAAATGCATTAAAACTTATTTTGTTAGATTCAGAAGCAAGAATACACATACAATTCAGTTAAATTTAATAAAAACATTTTCAGTTGTCATAGGCAAACTTCACTAGAAAGTCGAAACGATTCGTGAAAACAAGCACGAGAACACAAATAGTAATCGGAACTTCCTTTCTCCAAACAAATATCGCATTAATCATATATGATCATTTATTGAAAATCTCCAACAACAGGACTAAAAATACATAGAAAACAATGCAGACAAAATGTACTATGGCTAAGTTATAATCATGGATAAAAGTCTATCATAACTGACCAAACACCACTAACAAGTCAAACAAAATCATATATATTACATAATAAATATATCCATCTCAAATACTTATAGCACAGAAAATTCATAGACCTGAAATTAAACAGTAAAGGTTTGTTTACATTAATACAGTTCTTCAGTACAGCTTAGAAGCTGAGTGTAGCAAGATTGAGGCTTTTCTCAGCGTTTAGCAGTGCTGACTAACGATAGCTAGTCTGAACTTTCACCCCTTCTAGAGCTATAACAATGCGTTTAAATGGTATGTTTATTGAACATTTTTAGATACTCCGGGCCTCTAGAACGAAATGTAAAATATTGTCATTATGTCGCAGAACATCCTGCATACAGGATGACTTTAAACATAAGGGAAAAATTTCAGACGCTGATTCTTCAAATAATTTCAACCATAAAAGTTCATATAGCATAAAGTACAGTATGTTCAAACGGCATAGTTTTAAACTTACAGGATGTTTAATATGTGGTCCCCTTGAGAATGTTGACGAATTACGGAATCGCATCGTCGTGCCCTGTTGAGTAGTTTGAGACATCTCCTTGTATATGTGAACTTGCGCAAATTAATTTAGCTGAGAATAAAATCCTGTATTACAATTGGTGATGGTTATTTTCAACAGTTATTACAAATATGTCGTTTTGAATAAATATTCATATAAAGTTTTACTATTAATAGCGAGGTTGTGGCCGACGTTTTCACGTTGAAAACTTCAACCGCAACCTCGCTAATATTATTCGAAGAATTAGCATTTGAACTTTTTCGCATATATTTAGAATTTCCCTATGTATCATTATAATCATGTAATGATATAAAAGTAATATCATTTAAATAAAGAAATATCTAGTTTAATTCATGGTTTGTTATTTTTATATTTAAATCCGCAAACCACTGGCTGGATTTAATTGTTTTGTTTACCTCATTGCTGCCATTTCACCTCATTTCAGTAAATTGTGGCTGCATTGATAGTCCCAGTTTAAGTATTCTTGAACGTTACTCTGGTTACTGTAATTTTAAATACTTTCATATGCGTCTCATTTTACTGTTATTTCGTTTTATGTTATACTGGATCAACTGAAATAACATTTTCAGATTTTCTTTAGTTAAAAGGTTGCTGACAACAACTGTAAGTATTTTATTTTCTGTGGAGGAAACGTTAGAAACGTTGAAACGTGACTTCAATAAAGTTGGTTGATTGGTGTATAAGAGATACGATGTTTTGGAATACGAGCGGAAGTAAATCTCTCAAAATAATATGGACGTTGGCTATTCGCTAAACAATACCAAATAAGTATTTTAGTAAACAAAATAACCTGTTATTCTATTCTTCTGTTAAAACAGAATATAGAAAGTGCAGTTAGTTTTATTTTTGAAGATGTTTTGGAAATAAGTTCGTTAATTATGTTTTATTCTAATAGGGACATTTATGTAATAAACTTAGTTAACTAAAGACTGCTTTTTATTTTTCATACTATCAAGGTATGATATTGTATATTTTTTTCTGTTAATTTTCAATATATTTATAAATATAATAATTGTAATAAAAGTATTTAAATAAATAATACCAATTACATTGTTTTCAATGTTTTCTTTAACCTCCTGGCGGACTCTTTCTTGCTTGTCAGGATGTTTAACCAAATAATGAGTGCACCAAGCTAGCGTAGTACTCGTAGTGTCATATCTAGAAAACAATAAAAATGAAACCAAATCTACAGTTTAGTATTAAATAATTCATATAAAGTGTATTAAAGACTATTAATGAAAAATTTATAATAACCCAGTTATCATAAACAAAATAGAATTCGCAACAATACTATCTGTTGAAAGCTTCTTTGTGATACCATCCGTTTCATCTGTGGCATCAATCATGATTTGCAAAAGATCTGCAGGATGATACTGCGTAAGTTAGAAAACAGTTTCTACTATCAGAATTGATTTTATTATTCTCGTGAACTTTATGTAAAAAATGAAAACTTACACCAGATGTTTTTCGAGAAGACACAATTTGTTCACATGTGTCGAAAGCCAATTTAGCAGATGGATAATTAATTACATATTTCATTCTATCTACAATCTTCCTCAAGAATGTAGGAATTGGCTCAATTTCGGGAAAACAGACTAAAAAAGTTTATATCAATTATCTTTGAGAAACTATTAAAATATTTAAGATTTACCTACGTGATAGTATGGACAATAAATCTGCGGAATCAACATCCAGTAAACTGTAGATGGATTGAATAAATTTACTTGTCTCTTTATTTTGTACGTTTGTCTGAATTCCAAAAGCTACTCTACAAATTATATCAAAAGTCAAATTTTTATAAAAGTCTGCGATATCAAATGGTGATTTTTCTTGTTTTTCTACTTTCCCCAAAAATATTTTTATTGGATCAGACATAAGAGGGCTCATCTGTAAATATACAAAATGACCATACAGTTCTGCAATAACAAATAATAATTTTATACTTACAATGTTAAACCTACATAAACGAAAAGAATTTTCATATTTAAAGTACCGAGAATTTTATTAAAGTATGTACCATTTTCAGTTTAGCTGTACTGAAACTTGTTCTCACTATACTTCTGGCATTTTTCCAATCTTCATCAAGTTGTTTTGTAAGTGCTTTGAATATAAGATTATGTGGAATTCCTCCATCTGGAAGTAACAACTGAAATAATACACAACAAAATATCAATATGGTAAATAAGTCTTTGCATTAATAATCATAAGAAATTACATCTCTATTCATAAAACTTTTGAAGTCCTTTATTTGTATAAGTTTTATTAATTCCAAATCACGACAGACAACCCAAGGTTTGCCTCCGAGAAAAAAGCTGAAAATAATAAAATAATATTTATATTTTGTTATTATTAGACTAATTAATAAACAATTAGAGTTACTTGAATATACAGGAACATAAGATGACAACATATCTTTCTGCGAAAAATATTGACGATCTCAAAAAAAAATCCTGTCGTTGTATGCAAAATTAAGTTTACATGATAAAGAAGTGATTACGATTTTATAGTAAAAGGCTCTATGTCAAAACAACCGAACAAAGCCCGTAACAAATTAATAAAGACGGATTCGCATTAGGACCATCATCCTCACCGACGGTTAAGGTAACAACGAACAGACAAACGACACGATGACGTTTAGCTAGCAAACTTTTTGATAGAACGACGACCGTCTTGAAGAAATCCAATAGTTGAAGATGTATATAAAAATGTCTCAAGTTACAACCAATAAGGGACGTTCTTTTATGTTTGCTTATTTTGGCACGTGAAACGAAAAGAAAAACAGAATCTTAACACAGTAGAAAGTAAAGAATTTAATGAATTGTTAATAGAAGAGGTAAAAAGTTATGTGACAGGTTAGCATAGATTTATGCCGTTTGATGATTAAACTACGTACAGTACTTAATATGTACACTTCGTTTTACCGTCCGTCCTTCGAATCGGATGATAACCAGTGACTTGATGACTAAGCCGTGAATTTGGACTTTTAAAATGTCGACCTACAGCTTTGGAAACTTGGTAATGAATCCGGACGGATCGAAAAACAGAGGAATTTTTTCGGGGATGTTCTGCAGGGCTATCGTGAGCTTGTATGAGTGGGTCCATTGCCATTTTGGTTTCGACAAATGAAATACTATACTGTACTGTACGTAAAATAGAATGTCTCTATCATTTTTTTATATTCTTAAACACTATATATTGTAATAAATTCTAACACTTGGTGTTCTATCATCTTTATTTAGTTCAGTTGATACACATAGTGTTTTAACTACGCAGTGTTTAAGAATCAAAGAAGAGTCACAACACGGTTTCAGATTATCAAAAATGTGTCTATCAGCATAAAGTAGTCAAATATATTAGTGTTTTGTCCTTTTATTATTATTAAGTGAATACGTGAGCACTAATTTTTGGCTCTCAGGAGGACTTATCAGACAATATTGATGCAACAAGAGAAATAGGCCAAAGAGGGTCAAATCGACTGTGTGAAACTCATACCGTTGTTACAGTAAATACAGTACACTTAGCGTTCATATATTCAGTTATATTAGTTATTTTATATTCAATTATATATAAGTTAAATTATATTTATTAGTAAAACTAACATAAACTTGTATGGATAGGAACCACTAAGGCCAATTAGGTTTTCTCCAGGCCCTGGAAAAAATCACCTTCTCGATGGCTTTAGGGTTCCGTCCCACACCACTTTCCGCCTCATTGTCAGCTGGCGGAACCTATAATGGACATGATTAAAAAGGCCCTCTTAGTGCCCCCAGGGCTAAAAGAGTATAAAAATAAACCCTTAATAAAGAGTAAAGACACACTGGTGACGACAAATGAAGTAAGCAGCAATCGAAAGTTGCGTGAGAGAAATTCTGCCATTTGTAATTACTGGCTAATTCACTGCTTTCACGATGGCTACAACTGACATTTCCTATAAACAAGCGATTTAGATAAGCTGACTAGCAATGGGAACATGGAAACCATGATCATGTAATCACTATCACTGTAAGTTTATTCTATTTCAAACAGAATTTAACATTAAATGTGACTTTAAATAATTTTATTAAAAAGTATAATAAATGTTTAAAAATTTTAATTAAGTGCGATTGATACATATGTTATTGATAAATTTGATTATATCTACTGAAAATGATAAAATTGCATTTTTATTACTGATATATTTACCCAAAAACATCTCCATATTTTTCTATCCATTCATCGAAGCACTTGTTTCTCTAAATCAAAGTATAAGTTGCATAAATATAAAATCTTAACTGTGAAATTTTAACAATGCATAAGAAAATTGATTACCTTTTTGTTATATTCCATTGCATTTCCAGTAATGAAATTGGGTTTAGGTCCAGGAATTCCATATCTCTGAAATATACTCATTTGTCTTTTTCTCCACCTACAAATAATATAACATTAAACATTTAATTCTTTTTCGATACCGAAATATCATAAATATGTTAATCATATTAAACTTTATTGATTGTAGTGTACACGTAAACATTGTTGTTCTCATATTGAAAATATAAAAAATATTCTTTTTAAAGATATATTATTTATTCATAGAAATTCAGGCAAAGAAAATAAATTAAAACATTAAAAGTAAATTGCGAAATTTATCGTGAAATCAAATTTTAGACTTAAAAATTTGTTTAAATATCGTAATTTGAAGCTTAATAAATAAATATTTATTTGTTATAAACGAAATTATTTTTTATTCAAAATTATGCGTTTTCATATTTAAATATAAAGTCTACGTCATAACAATTAAAAATATTATATTTAATTTTTATAAGTTAAATTAGCATATCGAGAACTACTGTATAAACCTTGTCTCAATGTTTTCTGTTTTAGTTAAATTTAATTCGCAGTAAAAACGTCGAAGTGAATGAAAGCTATTCGTATAAAGATACGAGTTTCCTGCTGGCTCCTTATATTTGAGGAATATAATACCTTTTTGGAGGTCGTTTTTATTGTTAGCAATTCAGATGTGCATGCTATCTTCTTTCATTGAAATATAGTAGGGATGGTAGGGTAAATAATAGCATACAATCTTATCACTCGAGCTTGCAGAAATTTCTATCAATAGAAATGATACGTTATTGGCAGTAGAAATGCCTCACTAGTGACTGTTAACAAATATTCTATTTATAAGTTAAGAATAAATGCTTTTAATAACGTGACCTATTAGCATTTGCATCCGGCCCCACTAGCGAAGGTTTTATTTCGACGACACTATCGAAGTTACGGTTGTACATGTGATATATCGATATAAAGACAATAATTATATTCGACGATTTTTTTTGTACTATGATTACAAATGTAGTAAAAATAATATCTTTACTTTTATGTATTAACTGTTATTATCATATTATTAAGATACTATACTGCATATACGCTTAACATTTTATTATATACTCATTTAAATTGAAGGATTTCCTATGGCCGTCCATAACGCTTGTTTTAGGCATCCATTCTTATAATCAGGTTGCCTCTTGTCATGTATATATGGATACTTTCGAGTGTTTTAGATAAATATTTCCAGATACATTCTAGGACTTTTCTAAGTAGCCAAGAGAGAACTTACAGTACAGATTTCTGATTGGTTGATGGTACCGAAAGTTGAACACCGCTTAATTCTCTTTACGTTCGTTTTATGACCTGTTCCGGCGTAAAATATGATCACGCGATTAAAAGTAATTACGGCGAGGGTTTTTAAGCTACTAAAATCTCAGCCTTACTTTGGCATAATATTTTAAATCAAGTTAATTTAGCAAATAATTCTGTGAAACTGTAGCCTAATTGCACATATTTGCGAAGAAAAATTTATTTAAGACAAAATTCTAAATTATTTAAAGAGGCAACAATAATAGCAGAAAATTTAGATGTTGAGCAATTTTGAAATGAAGAAAACTATTAGTTCTCATAGGATTTAAAATAATAATTCTTCTATAGATTACATATTCTTAATTCAAAAGAGAAGTTTTTAAAGTTGAATGCTTCTTTTTTCTTTTTATATTATCTATTTGGACCTTTTTATCACTAAGACTTATTATACTGATGAAGTTTCAGATTAGCAAAGAGAGAAAATCTTAGTCAAAAGTCAAAACAAAATATCGTTATTTTCATCCGTACACTCTTTTTGTGCGTTTCGGACCTGTAGGCATGTCTTCAAGAGGTTTACAATATTATTACTTTTACTGTCCAATATTAATACAACACTAATACCGACAAATATATAAAATATTTTGTTTTACCTTTTGGCAAGGACTTCCTCTCTTTGCTAATCAGAAACTAAACCAGCATAATAAGTCTTATTTATAAACAAGGTTCAAGTAGACAGTATAAAAAGAAAAAATAGGCCTAATAAAACATTAAAGACAAAGAGGTAAAAGGAATTAAATATTTTTCTTTAATTAATATTTACATACTGATAATACCTATAAAAGAGAGATTTATAAACATACTAATAAATTTAAGTATTTATAAGATATTGGTAATATTAAATATTAATTTTACAAAGATAGCGTGTCTTATGGAATACAACTGGTACGTTTATGTTTTTTTTTTTTTTTTTTAAATTTTCTTTATAAACTATAATCAAAAGCAATAGAGTAACATGTTAGAGTTTTTATAGTTCAGAAATATTTTGAGATCTCAAAAAATTACTTGCATCCAGGCTTATTTCTGGTGAAGAAATAAGCCTGGATAGTTCTTTCTACAGACACTTAACACCTGCTCTTTAATTATGATCACCCTTATTTTATTACCATGTGTTTGTGAATTATTACTTGATAACACCTTCAAACAATTTATGAATTTTTCAGTGGTTAATTGGAATGTTAATGACTTACTGTATATTTTGATTATTAGATTTTTTAAACGAATTCTATTAACATGGGTTCTTTTGCTTGTAATTTATACCTATTTTAAAATTACAGTAGAACCTCGATTATCCGGACTAATTGGGGATGAAGGTAGTCCGTATAAGGAAAAATTCTGATAATCGAAACAAACACTTTAATTTGTCTTTTAATGATAATACAACACGTTTTCTTTTCGATGACACATCGGTAATATTAAAAATAAATACTGTATTTAAATCGTGATCAAATTTTCAAGAAACAAATGTTTTATTGAATTTGGACTACTACTGACCAGCGCTAACAGACTACTTATTGTTTAAAAGGCCCTCTGGTGGCGCAAGAAGACGGATCTTACAAAATAAAAAGCAGTTGAAACTGCATTTTTATGAATAAAAATTTGACAAATTATTTATCGTTTTATGACGAGTAAAATTTTTTCGTCGCGTTCGCGGCTTTTAAGTAATGCATAAACCTTCGAGGCGCGAGGCCCTTCGGACCGCGAGGCATAGGCGGTGGCCCACGTCGTCCATGCCTTACGCCGCCCTTGGTCATAGAAATGATGTAATTTGAATATAAATTATTTATAAATACGTATGTCAAGTTATATTTTTATTACTACGTAAAATATATTTAAGAGTTTACGACCACTGTGCTGGGTGAGACGTTGTTGAAACAAAAAAAGTTATGCATTCCATCACGTACATAAACAGTGTCGTAATTCGCCAAGTGCAAATCAGCAAATTCGTAAAATTTTTGTTTATTTTGAACAATCCGGATAATAGAGGTCCGGATAATCGAGGTTCTACTGTATTTTGTTTCTAATATGTAAAAATTTAATGAATTTGCGTTTATTTACTAAACTATAATCAAAAGTAACAAATTCTTACGTAAAATTAACGATGTCATGTAACCATACAATAAATTTTGAAAAAATAGTAAGTGAATTTCAAACAAACTAAGCAATTCTTAATTAACAGATATCCAGTAAAATACACTCATTGACAAAAACTGATTACAGTTCTGGCCCGACTACACACTAGGTAATGTCATCAGAGTGCTTTAAAATTGCTTCCATTTTCATAAAATAGTACCTTATGAAAATGCCGAAATAGGCTAACTCCTGTATGCAAAATTTTCAGTGTACCTGCTGTTTGATGGTCGTTGAACTCTAGACATGACTGTATGACGAAGTTAAAGACAATATCCGCAGATGACAATGTTGGAGATAGGCCTCATCAGGTTGAGGGAAAGCTCATCAGGTTGAGGGCTCAGGCCTTCCTCCAACAGGGTACAATCGATCTATCGTACAGTTGAGTACAGTGATACATCAGGGCATACACGGTGGCCAGGCTTTGGAAATTCCGGATATACCACCATGTGAAAAATGTACGACAATGGTGGGCAAAGAAACATCTTCAACCGTTTCTTTGTCCACCATCTAGAGACAGGTGGAAAGTCTCCTTACAGAATACTGCGTCTTCCCGCACCAGCAGAACAACTAGCAGTGGTAAATTTAAATGCACCGCGATTGCCACTCGCCTTACCAATTACTACCTCAACATTGTCTATTCGTATGTAGCAAAAAATTTTTTTTCTATTTCTAACTCAGACTTTTGTAAGCTCGAACAATCTTTATCACCTATTAATCGGAGTTAGCGAGAATTTATGTCCACTGTATTGTCATAAATATGTTTAATTTGAATGGCCAAATAGTTATATCGATAAAAACAGAAAAAATTAATTTTATTTCGTTGTTAATTAAGTTATTTTGTATGTTATTTGTTCATGAAATTATTTGTAATCCTTACAGATAACAAATTATAAAACTCGAAAAAAAGATTCCCAGACTAAATAATTAAATAACTATTTAACTTAAAAATTGATGTAACTCTGTTTAATATTATGAATAATTAACAAATTTTCACTTTAATATTTTAAATAAATCACGATTTTAAAGTTAATTGACTTAATAAATTCTTTATTTCATCTGTGTAAGAAAGAAGAAACAAATAAACAAATGAAGAAGACTTACCTTATCCAAAATGAGAGAAGACATACGAAAACAGCCAATGATATTATTATGGGCGACATCTAGAATTAATGTGATCAATATCAATATTTACTTTATATTGATTTACGGATTATCTAATTTTTAAAACATTTTATTGCAATTCCTTTTCTTCAGATGGTTATAACAACGTTTTTAAATTCTCCTTTATGGTATTTTTGTATAACTTTTTATTCCCTGGCTGTTATACAGACCAGAAGGAAAGTATGGCAATCGGTCAAAAAAGGCCCTCGAAGATTTCTACGTTTTTGGACTTGGTGCTTCGAAATATCGAGGGAAAAATAAAAGGCTGTATGTACTGTATATTAGTATTATGATGTGTTTGTGTCCGGACACGAATTTGTGGGTGAACAATATCGTGCTCTCCATACATTTGTTTTCACAATTTTTGTCGAAAATTTATTAAACTTTGCAGGGAGATTTGTGCATTAGAGGGTTATTGCTCTTAAAGTTTAGTGTTTAAAGTTCGAGGGAGATAGAAAGAGTTATATGTCATATCTCGAGTGAGTCGAACTTAATAAAGATGTTACTCGTTATTAGCATTTATAGATTTTTACAAAACACATCTCTACACTCAAAATTAAGCTTTTTGCCATTTTATAATAATCGATTATATAAAAGTTTTTAAATAAAATATCATAACGGATGGCTCAACATGCATTTTAAAGTAAATGTTACCTTAAAATTTACATGTCTCGTTGCTAAATTTTTTAAATTGCCATTCTAATTTTCTGATTATTTTTCCTTAAAATTTTTTATAGGAACTGCCTTCTACCCGACTGAATTCTATATTAAGATCTATTGATATAATTATATACTGTATTTACAAATTATATAGAGTATTATATAATTATTTTTATTATATATTTTGGTTGTATCTATTTCGAATAAGAAAAACTACAATATTATAATAAAGCATTTACCTTTCATTTGTGGATTAACAGACGTTTGTTTTATGAACCGAACGAAAAATAATCTGAGTTGAAATGATTAAGACTTCTTATAAACATTTGACATGTGATTGATAAAAAGAATTCCATTAAACATATTTATCATACAGTATAAAGGAATTTGACCGATAATGATGTGATACTGATATGTCGACGTATCGGTCGTAACCGGTTGAGGTGCCTAGAGGTTGTTTATTCAACTATTAATTAACACTGAATAGAACACGTCGCTAGTCACTTTAATGGTAACTATTGTGTTTCCTTATTTCTCGAATAGTTGTTTTTCCCGATTTCTTCGTTAAAAATAAATTTCTATTTATCATCACTCTATGAACTTTCTGCGAATATGTTTATGTGAAAGTAGGATTAAGTGGTTGTGTTATATTCGAAGCCATAGTCTCTCTCCTAATAATTTTAGTCTAAAATATAAAAATAGGCAACTTTCTTGTAAGCTTTGCGTGAGATGCCTACTGGATTTAAGGGAGAAATGTGTACTTTTTATAAAATACTTTATTATGAACTTAATTAAATTTATAATTGGAATAAAGTCGACCTACATAGATTTCAAACGATAGGTTTATCCACGATAAAGACAGACAGGTCCGTCACAGACAGGACGTTGTCTGCCGCAAACAGGTTTCGTCTTTTTCGAAGTATTCATAGATTAGTTAAAATTTAAGTTTAAGCTAAATCGCCCTAAAATGGAAGAAAACCCTTAAGTAACACTTGGTGGAATGGAAAGTCTCGTACCATTGCTTTCATCATATTCAGATGACCTCAATGGATTTAGTATAACAGAATTCTTTGAATCAGATGGCAGCATGGTTTAGGCTCAAATGTTGGCTGTGGTCCGTTTAAAGTTAATCGGTATTGCTAGGGAATTTGCTAAAAAAATAGGAGAATTAAAGACGTAGAAGAATATGACACATTTAAACGTTTTTATATGAAAACAGGAAACATTGTGGTTACATTTAATCTTTGAATCTGTCTGAAAAAAAAAAAATAATGTATAAAGCAAACCGACTTAAGAGTGAGTGCAGGAAATGTGCGACGTCGCTGTGAATATGAGTTTAATTAAACATTGTCATATATAGCATATGAAGAATTTTTATGCTTAATTAAACTTTAATAAATTGAAATCAAAACATAAATCATCTTTATATAGCATGCGATTCAATATGATTATTACCTATAAATATGTAGGGCCTACCTATGTTTGCGAGTGATTATTTATTAAACTTTATTAAAGTTTAATAAATAATCACTCGCAAAATATACTATTATTAAACTTTACTTCTTTTTTATTGTAAATATGTTTGAGATCAGTTTTATTTGTAGTTGCATAATTGTAAATAGCTTTGTGATAATAAAATATTAAAATACTATCATCATCAAATTATATTTATCACTTTTACCTCGATCAATGTAAATTGGGCAGCGTATTGAAGCACATAAAGTATTCATGCTGTCGTCTACAATAATATTATTGACTTTTTTTGCGTGTCTTCTATCATTTTGGATAAGGTAAGTTTCTCGTCTATTGTGCCAACCTGTAACCCGTGCCACTTCGGATTTAGACCGTGTCGCCGATGCTAACAGACGAAGTCTCCCCACCTGTCCTTCGGACTTGTCAACGATGCCACCTTCGATTGACGATCAAAGAACCTCATCGACGCCCAGTACGTCCGAACAGCTGATCGTCTAAAGCAAACTATTTTGTACATAGTAAGTTTATTTTGTGTTAAAATAAACGGTTTTTGTTCGATACTTGTCGTCTTTGTCTCCTCCGCCACCACCCACGTACGAATGGACCCTAGACAATCACTGACGCGCAATTAACTGATTGCCACTGGAAGTTGGCTTCTTACAGAAACACGGCATCCCTATTATAAAATGTCACGGCACGTTACTGATTGACAGGCGACATTTCTCTACAAAAAGTGCATGTTATGCAGGCAACTTACAAATATGATCTACTGTATTCTAGAACTAGCAGATGAGCCCGGTGTTGCTCGGGCAAAACATAACAACAAACGTTAAGATTATTAGATTTTTTCGTACTTATGACCCTTCTATTATATTATATTATATTATAGTATTTGATTTATATAACTACGAATGTTTTCTTATGTAAGGGTTTAAAACATCAAGTGCTTAATGTATGCATCGTTAATTCAAACTTTATACAGAGATAAATTCTTGACAAAAGGTACAGTCAAAAGGATTCCCACACTTTCCAGTTCTTTAGTTGGGAAAAGAAATAAATTTGTTAGATACAACCGATTTCAAAAATATCTTTCTACGTAAAAATGTAACGTAGCAATTCCTATATTTTTTCTATATTTCTCTCCGGTATTGGAAGAAATTCTAAGACGTATGAAAGTCCCTTTTGTGTCACAGCTGTGCCGATTACTTTTAAAAATTTGAGATATTTGCAATGAGTTTTTTTATTGTTTGTCGGCTTGATGATACAAGAAACGATGGCTTTTATCTGTAATGGAGCAAAATGATAAATCTAGACTTTGTAGCAGAGAAAAATGTCTTCCAATAATTCCAATCACGGAGTATATATAATAGTAGTAACTCTGGTAGAATTCTATTTTCTTGCAGTTCTGTTGCCCGCCTGTGTTCTGAGTTCTCTGTCCACAGATTAATTATATTATGGAAGTCCACAATTAGAAAATCATAAGAGGCACTGGAATTAAACGTGAACTTTGAATTTGACTATAACATTTTAATAACAAAACATTTAACCTTTTCATAATTGAAAAAATAGGATAATCTTTAATTTAATCATTTTTGTAGTTTTCTTCTTGGCGGAAAAAGTAAAACAAAGATCGGATTGTGGAATGAATCAAATCATTCTCACAATTTCATTCTTAGCGGTGGTGGTAATAGCCGGGAGAACCTCTGCAATCCCATCACCATTTTGATGATGAAGTGTGAGATTTTGTCAGAAATTTTAGACATTTCGGTCTCACCAAACGTTATTAATGCAGATTGGTACTATTCATACGTATTATATACTAATTTATATCAGATTATATACAATAATAATTCATTCTTAAACGATCAAAAATTTATACAGTATTTTCAAAATAATGGTGATATTTTCATTATTTTAATGCTTGGAACCAACCATTTGTTAGTGTTTGAAAAATGGATAAACTCCGATCTACAATTACAATCTCCTGCAAATTTATTATGGTTTTGTATTAAAAAAAATTTTTTTTTAAATTAGAAATTAATTTTGTTTTGTTTTGAGTAAATATTCATATGTGATTCTTTATTTATTAAAAATGCATCTAAAGAAAGTAAAATAAATAGGCCAATAAAATAAAAGTAAGAAAAATAATTCAAATTTGAAGGCCAAGGGTAGGTAGCTCTAATCGTTAACCCGTTAGCTCTAATCATAAAGTCCTTTCTTCATCTAATGGTACTAAAAATTTTCTTAAAGACACAGACCAGATATTTATGCTGGCCAGATAGTAGTTCTTATCTGAACCCCATTGAGAACTCCTGACATATTATGGATACGAAAAAAGCAGAGGAAAGGCCCGAGAATAAGCAGCAAATGAATTAGAATAGTTTGGTATAGAATATTGGAAGAAACTCATTAACTCTATGCTGAAGCATTGCAAAGCTGTTATTAAGACTTGAGGAAGATATAAAACGTATTGAAATCTTATCTAATGAGAAATAACTATTTATGTTACTTTTTTGAGGCTTAAGTAAAGAATCTCTATTTCTTCCATTAGTGTGAATGGCAAGTTCTCACGACAGTGCTCATAAACATGCTATATCATGAAATAACACTTTAATTCTATATCGTACGTTATAGTTTATTGTTATTCCTATTATAATTGGTTTATTTTCTGTACTACATGTGTTATCATTACAAATCCCGATCACCGATTAAATATGCTATACAGTATATACATACTGTATATCATATATGGAGCAACTGTATATATCCAAGATTTGGTCTCATAAACGTTTTTTTAACATATATATGAGTATTTTCATTATAAACAACGTAAGAAGTAAAAAAAATTATTAAAAGGTTCACAAAGTTATTGCAGTTGCCTTTACCATAATTCCATTTTTTGGACGAGGTATAAAGAGCGACAAGTCTTCGTCAACTTCCTATAACAAATTATTAATTTGTATAATTAAAAAATAATATTAACGCTTTTATACATTAAATTAAAAAATAATATTAACGCTTTTATACATTAAATTAAATAAATTATTCGAACAGAAATATATTTAAAGTAAGGTTCTATTTACCAAACTTCCACAAGGTTCTAATTTATAGTGCTGCACAAGATTAGCCAAAGTTAATTTCATAACTGTTTGAGCCATTTTCATTCCCATGCAGCCTCTTGGACCATATCCGAAAGGTTGATATATCAATGGATCTATTAGTCCTGCATTCTTAGATGAAAATCTGAAAATAAATCATCAAAATACACTATTAAAAATTAATTTCAGAAAATGCATATTAAAAAGTAAATTAATCGACATCACAAGTTGAAATGACACTGTATTATACCTGTCAGGGTTGAAATTTTCCGGTTCATTCCAATATCTGTAGTCTTTATGCAAGTTTGGTACTGGAATCATAACTGTAACTCCCTTAGGAATAGTTATATTCTTATAGTAGAAATCGTTTGAACATATTCTATTAAATGAACTGAATATAAATTTTTTGATTAGTTAAAATAATTTTGAGTAAAAAATATCAATTAAAAGTAAAATTTACTTACAGAGTTGAAAGAGTTTGTACACGTAACGTTTCCGATATTATTTGACCCAGGTATTTTAATTTCGGTAAATCCGCATATTCAATTTTCTGTTATAAAAAGTATTTCTTATTAATAATGTAGAACTTTGGAGCTGAAGAAATTTTTTGAACACAAATTTATATATTTAATTAACAAAACTTTTCCATAAATTTTAGTATCAAATTTACAATGTAACAAAAATAAATAGAAAGCTTTCGAGATATCAATTCTGAAAACACAATTTATGTCACGTTTAAGAATTTTAATACAGTCGAACCTGTGTATCTCGAATTTCACGGAAACAAGAAAAAAATCCAGATGGACATATTTCGAGATATAGAGGTTCGTATGGAGCCGATTAGATTTGAAATACGGTATATTATTAATACAGGTATCCCCTCGTGATATTTGGGGGTCCAAAAAATGCGCGATATAACGAAATACAATAGAATTTACAGTACATACTTCTATTAGGTAAAAATAAACGTTTCTGAAATCCATTAGCAGAAATCGTTGGTTAATAATTTTTGATGCCTGCTTTTCTTTCGACTGGACAATATTTTGAAGGTAAGCAATAGCGGCGAATGCATTCTGACTAATATCTTCCTGACATTGAAGGAAATGTTTCAACATTTCAATGGCCTTTTCCACCTCTTTTGAGGTAATACTGTATCTATCTAATCCTCTAGTTCAGTGGTTCCCAATTAGTTTTTCCTGCCTACCACTTCAAGAAAGAGCTTAAACTCGCGTACCCCTTATAGCAGAAATTCATATTAATCCATACTAATATTATAAATTCGAAGATAATGCTGTCTGTCTGTCACCTTTTCACGTCTAAACCGCTGAACAGGTTTTAATAAAATTTGGCACAGAGATAGCTTACATGTTGGAGATAGACATAGGCTACGTTTTACTGCGAGAAAATATCTTACTCCCACGAGAATATTCGATATAATGCGGGCGAAGCTGTGGGTAGACAGCTAGTGATAGAATAAGTTTTTTTTACATTTATTACCTTTAAAATACAATTCTAATAATAATGAAAATAACATAAGGTTATTTAATTTTAATGCAACAAATGTGCACGATTTCCTTAGCACAACTTTGTAAAATCTGGTTGCTTTTTGGTCAGCTTCAGTCTCGAGTCATCTTCGAGTTGAAGTCGGTGACGATGTTTAGTTTTCATGTTTGTCATGGCCAAAAATCTGCTCTCGCAGAAGTATGTTGTGCAAAATGGTAGTAAATATTTTATTGCAGCTTCGTTGACACGATGATAGTGATAATTGTACAATTAACACAAATTGTGTTAATTGTACACTTTTTGTTTCTTGCGTAAGAATTTCATTTAGGTATTGTCACAAATGCATTTTTTAAATGAAATTTCGAGAATATTTTTAGTTATAAATAAATGAATTTGCGCATTCGACATAATGCTGTAAATTACAGAATTTTTGATGGTCCCTCCATTATTTTTTGATTGCTTCATCTCATGCATTTAAATTTTAAATCGACCGATTTTAGATTGCCGCGCGTACCCCTTCACGCAATTTCGCGCACCCCCAGGGGTACGCGTACCACTAATTGGGAACCACTGCTCTAGTTGATCGTTGTCGTCAGAAACTTTACTCACATTCCTCACGATCTTCGTATATAGTAACATTTCTCATGTTATAAGGGAATCGTCCACGTCCAAAAACTCGTCAAATAATGTCAAGATTATATTTATTCTTGACGATTATCTACTCTTACGAATTTACTTTATTGGTTTCTATGTCTTTCATCTTTTCAATGATGTTTTGTTGTTCTTCTTCTTCTTTATTGTTTCTTTGCTTAATCCCCGTAATTAGAAAACTGATCTTGATTGTGTTTTCTATAGCATTCTTCCTAGAATAGTAGATTATCCTCATAGCGTCCAAAACATTGGTAGTGATTGAAGGTTAAAGATTGCTTTATATACTATAGGAAACGATTTCTTTTTTTGAGAAACATCTAGGATTTTCAGAATGATCAATTGTTAGTGATAAAAGTTTTTACTTCCAGTTTAACTTCTAAACGTTCAGTCACGCGTACTTTATGTCATTTTCCACCTCGGCACTCTAGTTAGTCCCTTAAATATCGCTGTTGTATTCGGTAAACATTGGGAAAAAGGCTCGTTTCATCTGCGTTGAAGACATCCATTGGCTCGTAGCCATGAAGAAAAGAGAGATCCTTGATATACTCTTCGCAAACACTTTGAAGCACAGACGCACTTTCACCTCAAAGTTTCCTGAGGACAGTGTTGTGTCTATTTTAAAGCTCTTAAGCACCTGTTGCTGGATTTAAATTCTCTATCGCCAAGTCATCTGGTAAAATTCTCAGCTTTATTTTGTAATATCATTATATTGAGAGGAACGCCTCGGTTACAATATTGCACAAACCATTTTCTAACACATTCGTCTTCATTTGGAAAAGAATACTTTCGTGTTTTTTACACTTTCTTGTTGTTTTGAAGTTTCTCTCTACTAAATCTTTGTTCTTTATTATCGTTGCAAGAGTACTCGATGGAATACTAAACTTGGTCACATTTATTCTTCAACTACATTCTTTGTCAGATGAGTTGAATGAAAGAACAAAAGTCTTGGTCAAGCTCGGTATTCCATCAAGTAAAATTCATACAAAGTTTTAAGACTTTTATTCTTTCTTCAATTCAAAGGACATTCAACTTTCTATTCATGCCAGCCATTTGCTTCTCTTAATGTTGCAATCTCGAAGTTAAATGATGTCAAAAATAACCGTTGGTCCAGGAAAGTTCGTTAAAATCCGTTATAACACGTTATCTAGAATAATAACCACTAAGGGCAAGTAAAACTCGTAGCCAATCAAAGAGAAGCAGTTTGAATTGCAACTATGTACGGTATTGCGAGAGACGTTTCTTTACTACAATTTTTGCTATCAAAATGTAGTCGCCGAGCATTGAACTTGTCATTGACACTTCAATCCTTAATTCGAGATATAGAGGTTTTGGGAGAAAATTATTCGAGATAAACATAGAAAATGCATTGAATTTAGGCTGAAAATACAGCGGAGAAAATAAATTTCGACATAAACATGCTTGAGATAGAAAAATTCGACTGTATTAATTACTATAGTGATATTTAAATAAATCATTATTGTAAAAAGATCGATATAATAGCTCACCAGTTAGCTTACTTTAATTATAATAATAAAACTTGTTATAAGCCACTATTTTATCTTACTTTCAAGGTATGATAGTATTTTATTATTAATAAAAATATATTAATATTTATTACATATGTTTATTAACACTATATATTAGTAAATTAATTATACTGAAATGCCATTCGTTCTTTACAACGCCTGCGATTTGAGCTGAGTGATATTTATCCTTAAGTCTAGAGATTACTTAGTATGTTTCAAAACGGAAGGAATGATATCTGATTTACGCGATTGTTTTGCAAACCCAATTCCTTCCAAACTTTGTTTCAGAACTAATTAATTCAGTTTGTATGTAGCAGCTTTTGAACTTGTTAACGAATATATATTACAGTTGTTAAATTTCAGTTTAGACTCGATTGCAACGCTAAATCGTTCACAATTCAAAAAAGTCGAGCAAAAATTTTTTTGTTGAATTCTTCTGTTCAATTCAACTTAAGTCTAACAAGTAAGACAGACTTTTCTAATGATATTCTTCAAAGAGATGATCTGACAAAGATTCGAAATACCATGACAAGCTCACCGACATGGACTTGATATCTGTACCAAGTTTGGTCAAAATTGGTGTAAAGATTTCACAGGAGTTTATTTAAATCCAACGACATTTGTACCAGAGTAAAGTAATTTTCTTCGCTCACGCAGCTCAATTAATAAATTATCAAATATATTATTATATGTGATAGTACATGTAAATTTTCTTAAATAAATGTTAATTACATTATTTTCGATGTTTTCGTTTATCTCCAGACGAACTCTTTCTTGTTCTTCAGGATATTTAACCAAATAATGGGTGCACCAAGCTAACATAGTACTCGTAGTATCATATCTAGACGACAACAAAAATAAAACTCAATTTACAATTTAGCATTAAATAATTCATATAATTTGCGTTAAAGTTCACAACTTCATAACATGCATCAATATTTATAACACAACTATAATAACCCAGCTATCATAAATATAACAGCATTCGCAACAATATTGTCTGTTGAAAACTTCTTTGCGACACCATCCGCTTCACCTTCTGCATCAATCATGATTTGCAAGAGATCTGGTGGATGATACTGAACAGAAAACAGATTTTTACAATCAGCAATATTATTGTTATTTAGCAATTTATAAACTGTAAATCTTACATCAGAGGTTTTTCTTGAAGTAATCAATTGACTGCATGTATCAAACACCATTTTAACAGATGGACAATTTATTGCATATTTTATTGCATCCAAAATATTTCTAACGTACGTAGGAATCGGTTCAATTTCGGGAAAACAAACTAAACACATTATGTTAATAGTGTTAAATATAAAGAAACTTGTAATTATTTAAAAAATTCTTACTTGATAATATGGGCAGTAAATCAGAGGAATCAACCTCCAAGATATTGTAGACGGATTGCACAAATTTACTTGTTTCGTCATTTTGTACGTTTGTCTGAATTCCAAAAGCTGTTCTACAATTTACATCGAAAGTTAACTTTTTATAAAATTCAGCAATATCAAACGGCGATTCTTTCTGCTTTTCGATTTTCTCCATAAATAAATTTATTGGTTTAGCCATAAGAGTGCTCATCTAAAAGCATGAAATTTTGATATGTTTTATAATAACAATACGGACTTTTGCATTTGTGGATTTAAATATTTCTAAAAACACATAATTTTAATGTCCTATATGTACAGTATAATGTACAGTAGTATAATATTAAAGTAGCATAGATACCATCTTCAGTTTAGCTAAACTGAAACTTTTGGTCAATATATTTCTAGCACTATTCCAATCGTCATCACGTTGAAATGCGAATCCTTTAAATGCCAGATTATGAGGAATTCCTCCTGCTGGAAGTATTGTCTGAAATAATAGATAATATTATGTCAAAGTAATATTGTTAGTAGCATCAAAATTTACTTATAAACTTACGTCTTTATTCATAAAATGTTTGAATTCCTTTATCTGTATAAGTTTTATCAATTCCAAATCATGACAGACAACCCAAGGGTTTCCTCCAAGAAAAAAACTAGAAATTTTAAAATAATGTAAATATTTTATTTTCAATTTTAATTAATAAATATCACAAAAAGAAAATTTATAAAATGATTAAAATTTATTTCAATTACTTATTCCAATACCATTATAGTCCTTCATACTTAAGGTAAGAAAATATGAACACAGGAAAAACTTACACATTTGTCTATGAAAAAATTTCCTAATAAGAAGAATTTGTAGTTGTAAATTTAAATATTAAACACATTAATGACTTTTTTGAATTTCTAATAATGTGTGAAAAACAAAAAATACGGTAAAGAACACAATTAAAGTAATTGTTATTAGTGTACAGTAACAATTCTCTCGTTCGTAACAACTTTTTCTCAGGAAAAGAACGTGGCGTGCATTTTAGAATTGAACCGGATGTAGAACTTCTATAATAAAAATTCATATATATTTATACTAATAATAACAGTTTCAGTTACTACAGATTATCTCTGAAGTACTATTATATTTGCACACTTACTTCATATCTATTAATACATATGCCAACGTTTGTAACGTTATCAAATTGTTATTTTGATTATTATTTTCACGTTTTTGTCGTTTATGTAAAAAATATATCCATTTAATTGCAAATATTCTCACTTTAAATATAAAGAACTGAAATGTTTATTATTATTATTATTATTATTATTTCTCAGACAGAATTTAAAATTAAATAAAGTTTTTGACAATTTTACTGAATCTGAATGTTATAAATAATCAAAAATAAATTGAATAACTTATGTAATTACACAGAAATGATATACATTTTATATTTTATTGATATTATATAAAATAATAAGAATAAAGTAATATTTGCAGGAATAATGTTTACCCAAAAATGTTTCCATATTTTTCTATCCATTCATCGATGCATTTGTTTCTCTGTGTATAGGACAAATTGCATAAATATTAAATCATAAAACTCAAAATTTAGCAGTAAATAAAGGATTTTTTTTTTACTTTTTTATTATATTCCATTGCATTTCCAAAAATAAAATTGGGTTTAGGCCCTGGGATTCCATATCTCTGAAACAGGCTCATCTTTCTCATTCTCCATCTAAAAATATTGTTAAGCATTCAGTATTGAGAAAATCTGATAATATTTACTCATATTTTGTTGTTTCATCTATTTTATTGATATAATATAAAATCTTCTTCTTCTTGGTGCCATATCAGATTTCTGACATCGGCGACACCCGGTGTAGATTAGTAAGTAGTTAATAATACGCCAAGGTGTTACTAGGGAAGGTTAGTACCCAGAGTGGTTTCCCGTTGCCTTCTCTGGGGCGTGATGTTACGCGAGGGGAAAGAATGCCTTCCGGGAGGACTTTTATGGGGAACTGGCCTCCTATTTAGTCGTTATTGGCAAGGAGAAAACCCGGAAAACTCCAANATTGGCACACATTATTTATTACACTAGCAATATGAAAAATGAAGTATAAAATTTATCGTACAGGTAATCCCCGTATAACACGGTGCTTTTATAGCACGGGTTCACTCTAACAGGGTTCGGAAATTGGGTAAAAACCTCGTACAACATGAAATGTAATAAAGATGCGTTCTTTTATATTTCCGCGTAACTCCGCGCGAGCATTCTAATTGTTTTCGTGGCTACTTTGAATGCTCTTTCAACAAATAATCAATTTAATGGCTAAATTTTACAATTGGGACTCTTCTTTTGCCTCTAAAAGCTTATTTTAGAATTATAGATTCCTCCATCACGATACTTCGATAGTGCGGGCGCCGCCATCTTTCTTTCACCGTCGTTCCTAAATGCCTACAAACAGCAGCGCACTCCCGTTGCAGAGCGACCGCTATTAACGAACGCACTCAAAAACTGTTACAAGTTGATGATACTCATGCTGAGATCATCATATAGGAAGAATAATCCTCTGGTAAAATATTTACTTAAATAATAAATAAGTATTTTACCTATGAAAAGAATGAATAATAAATCTGATTTAAATAAGGATTTAACAGCATGTTTTTTAATTTTTGGAACCTAACCCCCCATTTCGCACTAGTTCTTTGTTTCGTATAACACAGCAATTTTTTGAAACGTAACTCCAGTGTTATACGAGGGATACCTGTACTGTATAAGCAAAATATAAATAATTCAAATTTCAAAATTTTTTTAAATCTCAAATAGATAATTAATTCATAAGTAAAAAAAATAAATAAACAGTTAATTTTTTATAATTTATTCTTTAAAGTTTATAAATATTTAAAATGTAAACTAGATACAAAGTTAATCGACAGTAATTTCTCTGTGTGAATCTCTAACTTTAGTGAAAATAATTTTATAATTATTTAATCCGTCAACGAGACCAACTAACGCAACAGTAAAATATATTTACCGAGCTCACTGAATAAAGATCTGAATTATGGAAATTTTACAGACATTCGGCGACTCTATTTTGACGGCTAACCGAGTTTTCCATCTAATAAATTATAAATTTTGTAAAATTTTTAATTTATTATAATTTTTAATTATTATATGTCGTGGCACATGTTGCAAAAAGATTCAGTTACTATTTTACAGAATAAAGCTAAGAACACAAAAGGCATTTTTATGACGAATCAGTCGCCGATTCAGCGAGAGATATTAAGTAACTTACAGATCGGAAATATACGACTTGATCGCTTCTTGTTCTATAGGATTTGATGTATTACGATTGGAGACAATTAATTATAAAGTAAACGAATCTTAATTTGTAACTAAAATTACATATTATCGGTCTATGAAAAATCAAAAAATTTAAGAAACTTTTACTTTTTAATCTGATGAATTCTTAAAGAGAAGAGCCTTTCGCTTTATCGTTAGGTTGACAAAATTGTCAACCTTATAGATATAGCAAGACTAGGAGATGTAGACGAGCAGGATATTGAGGAGATACTGCAGGTTTCTGGTGAGAGCCTTACCAACGACGACTTTCAAGAACTGGAAGAACAACGAATTCATGTAAAACTGGAAAATGGTGATTCTGAAAACGAAGAATCTAACGAATTTCTCTATAGATTTCCTTAGTGAAAGTTTGGTAAGATAACCGAAATCGTTGACCAAATTGTAGCGTATGATCCAGATTTTGAAAGGAGTGCAAAAGCAAGACGAGGCGTTTTGGATGCGATTTCTTGCTACCGACATTTGCTTAAGGACAGAAAAAAGCGACTAATGAAACTACACGACTTTATCGCAAAAAAACAAGAATTTCAAAAGAGCCAGAATCTTCGTCACAAAAAAAATTAACTTTACATTTCTGTGTGCCAATTGATGTGTTGTTTAACATATATTATTATGCAAATTAATATAAAAATAACTTAAAATTAAAGTAAAATCGGTCGCATGTTCTCCTTTCCCTATTTACCCTGTGTTAAAATAACCTCTTTAACGCGGTTTCGTTTAGTGCTTTGTCGTCTAGGAACGTATCCCCTGCGTTAAGCAGGATCTTACTGTACTATAATTTTTTTTCGTTATTTTATATGAAAAATAAATAAATGTTGGTTTGGTATACGACCTTAATCCGTTCCCGGTGTTTGGACTTATACCGAATTGGACATATACCAAACCAACCTTTCCCATAAAGTTTTACAACCTTTCTTCTTATGGGAAAGGTTGTAAAAATGATTAATCCGGTCTCGTGTAAAAAAAAATGGCTGGCTTTAAACACCTCGCTTGCCTGGCTAGTTCCTGCTTGATTTTTCGTGAGATCAGCGTGTATCATTTTAGCTTTCTCTCAAATAATTATTTCCGATACGCTGTCTCCAGTACTGTTTTTCAGTTATCCAAAGCAAAAGCAATTTCTCGACATGATCTAATGTTTTCGATCCCCTTTCGCAACGTTAGTAGATTTAATAATGTCTTTATTTTTCGCGATTGTCCATATCGTCGTTCTCGGAATACGGTAAACAACAGTTAAAATCTCGAACACACGAGCCACCTTCGTATTTCTCAACAATCTCTTTTATCAGTTCCATTGTAATTCTAGTCATTTTGTTAGTTTTCTGTCGCTTTTCATTTGCCTTTTTGCGATTCGTGATTAATAAAAATAAAATTTTACTTACGAATTAAAATCAGAAGAAATTAAACAAAGTTATAAACCGTTGTACCGCGAACGTATAGTCTGATCTAGTACACCGATAGTGCTACTAGTTCATTGATGGCGCGTATAATTGAATTATGTCGTATACCGAGCAAAATTTGTTTCGTCCAAACAGGACGTATTCCGAATTTGACGTATTCTAAAGCAGACATATACCGAGGTACCACTGTATATCAAATCCTCATGCATTTTTTAAAAACTTGCTTTTAGTTTAAAAAAAGCTCCTTAGAATGTTATTAATAGCTTCTTATTAAGAGCTAATAGCGGATTTTATTTCGTTTTCAGCTTTATTATTTTGTATAGCATCTAGTTTAGGTGTATTAAAAAATTTAATCTAAAATTTAAATTAAAATAAAAAATTTTTTCATTACCATTTAATAGAAATTATGATGGTGAGAACTAATCTGATAAATTGTTTAATTTTTATTTGTGAACAAACGAAAAAATAAAAAAATAAAGAATGCTTACCTTATCCAGAATAATAGAAGACACGCAAAAAAAGTCAATAATATTATTGTAGACGACAGCATGAATACTTTATTTGCTTCAATACGTGCCCAATTTACATTGATCGAAGTAAAACTAATTTGATAAGAATAGTATTTTAATATTTTATTATCACAAAGCTATTTACTTATTTACAATTATGCAACTACAAATAAAACGAATCTCAAACATATTTACAATAATAAAGAAGTAAAGTTTAATACATTAAAAAATAATCACTCGCAAACATAGGTAGGCCCTACATATTTATAGGTAATAATCATATTGAATCGCATGCTATATAAAGATGATTTACGTTTTGATTTCAATTTATTAAAGTTTAAGCATAAAAATTCTTAATTTTTGTTTAATTAATATCTATGACAGTATTTATTAATAGTGGTGATCTTTTGCGACAATTAATTCGTTTCACATATGTTCTAAAAAGTCTGTTTTAGTCAGTGAACAAATTATATACAATCACGTGATTGGTAGGAGTTTACGGGAAACATGATCAAAGATTATATGCAAATCTGAATTTTGTGAATTCTACGAGATTCTACGGGACTCTAATTTCAGTATTTTCTACGGCAGGGGTGGCCAAACCGTGGCGCATGCGCCAAACTTGGCGCATTGGACGATTACAAGTGGCGCTTTAGTCAGTTCTGAGCAACATTGCCAGATTTGGCTTCTTTGCAATTAAGAATATTACATAGAAAATTAATTTTTTATAGTCTGTCTTGGCAAGTTCATTTGTTGCACAATTCGTTGCAATCAACTTTACAGATAAAATGAGTGTTCTCCACATAGTAAATTACAGTGTATGCATGTATGTTTATTTTCGATCAGTGCATAGGCGTCTAAATGACAGTGCTACCGTCCGGACAGTCCACGAGTCGGTTGGACTGCTACACCTGTTGACCTTTTTTTTTTTTTTTTTTTTTTTTTTTGCTTCTACGATTCACGATACATTCGCAATCGTGTATGCCACTAATGTCAAATGGGACTATTTTGTACGGGTAACTACACCACCACCGCATTTTTTATTAATTTTTTTTTCACACAACTGAATTTTGATCTTTTAAATTGAAATACCTGATTAAAGGGTGGCCGAAATTTTTCTCCGCCCCGGGCGGCTAACACCCACGGTACGCCACTGCGCATCTGAACTCGTCTATCAAAAAATTGGCGCATGGTATGCAAAAGGTTGGCCACCCCTGTTCTACGGGAACGGTATTTTATATACAGGCGATATATTGGTTTGCTTACATAACTTTTCATAGCTATCACTATTTTGTGAGGTTAAGAATACGCACTTTTGAGTAATTATATAAGAAAAGCTATCTAAAATGGGTTTATATAAATTAATTTCGTTTTATCTAAATACCGTATTTTTCGCCGTATAAGACGCACCGGCATATAAGACGCACCCAATTTTAAAGGAGGCAAATTCAGAAAAAAAAAAATTATGAACCAAATTCTGTAGTAAAATATTTTATATCAACTGTATAAAGTTAACAGCAGTTAAGAAAAATTTTATGTCAACCATGTAACATACTAAGAGCTATCTTTACTATCATAAACAGTCTCTTCTGCTTTGACATCTTTACTATCATAAACAGTCTCTTCTGCTTTGACATCTTGATGGGGTGGTATGAAATATGATATATTTCATTCAGATATACCATACTACATATATCACTGCTATTAGCTGAGCGCAGAGACGAGTGCCTTCACCCGCTCCCGTGCTGGCTTACGAGACTCTAAAAAGTGCACAAAGCCAGCGCGGGAGAGAGCGAAGGCACGTGCCTCTTCGCCCAGCCAATCGCAGCGCGAGGCAAAGACCGCACAAAGCCAGTGCGAGGCAGAGCGGAGCTTCCTGGTATCAGACGGCGCCAAGAGGTGGAAGGGAACGGAGTGGCCGAGTATTCCTGCGGTTATGTATGTATGCAGAAGTGGAGGGGCAGCGGAGGGCCATGGTGGGCTTTTGTATTTGCCGTATAAGACGCAGGCACTTTTTTCCCCCCGATTTTGGAGAGAAAAAGTGAGTCTTATACGGCGAAAAATACGGTAAATATCGACGTTTCTCTATCATTATGTGAGGCCGCTTGTCACGGCCAGATATGGAAAGTCTACTAAAAGGTAGAAATTCCGCTAGAAAGAGAATTTTTATACCTCAGAACGGCGCGACAGAACGAGGTCATGCATGTGGGTGTGTCCGTTTCGTACGATACTAAGCTCGTCGTTCGACAGAACCGTTTATTTGGAGAGAAAGACTATTAACAATCCTCATTTTATTGACAAGTTGGACGAAAGCCCGAGAAGCTCGATCCTCCAAGTTTGATCGATTAGTCGTCCATGCTAAGAGAGTTTGTCGTAAAATATGGAAAACTCCGAATATGCAGAGTCGAAAAAGATGGTCGTTTCGTCGAATGTAAACTCAAGCACACACACCATTCCATGAAGGGAACAAAAGTCCGCGGTGATGAGGAGTACGACAACAGCACATGATCCAATTCAAGTTGGACGGATTTAACAGAAACGGATCAACAAGCCTTGGTGTCTTGGTACACCGGCGATTGGTCTCGTTCTCTCGTCTTCACTTCTCGTTCCTGATTCAAGTGGGGTTCGTCGAGACCCAAGGACTTGGTCGAGACCGATTCAGCCTCGGGAAAGGTCGAAGCCGATAGTCGATCCCAGACGGAAGTATTTATGACCTTGGTCATAAACAGTTCTGTCTGGAATCGACTATGGAAGAAAACTATGAAACTCGTGATTTAAACAACTTGAATCTACGTTGTTTAAATCACGAGTTGCATAGTTTTCTTCGACAGTTTCAAGGAAAAATTCGTTCGAAATTCCGATGGCAAATATATTATTATTAATAGGGATTCACTTTTCCCCAATTTAAATTTCTTTTCGAGAGAGAGAGAGAGAGAGAGACTTTCGGCGAGGATTCGGACTATGTCGAGGATCTTGCAATTAGCAGGATTAATGAAAGTAAAGCGGATCCCTCTTTTCTTTAGAGGATCTCATTTGCCATTTATTTATTTATTTGAACAAATGGAATACGTAAAATGTTACTTTCTTAATAGAAGGCATCTTAAATGTCTGACTATTTTATTAATAAAAATAGCATTAATTTACAGGGTTTGAAGTCACTACATACCTAAGTTTTCTTCAAGCCCGGGAAAAGTCCTGAGCATCCCCTCTCTCTCGATAGCCTGGCAATTACTTACTGTTAGAAGTTATGTAGGTTTTAAGTTGGGACACTTTAAATTCGATTCCTATGAACGTATCCTTAGCTTTCAGCAACATTTTCAAGGTTAAGTTATATTCACAATTAATCCATACCACACAATACTCAGCACATTTATAAATAATATTACATACGAGTAAGTAGTCGTTTATAAAAATAAATTGTAAGTTATAAGCTATACACGGAAACATCAGTAGTGGTTTTAGAAGAGCCATGGTTTATCAACCGGAATAGACGAAATGAAATGAATATAACCTAATTATCATTATTTACCTTTTTTTCCACCTATATAATTAACAAAAAGTAAATAAAACATATAAAAATATATCAAGCACGTTACCTTTATTCTGTAAAATGAAAGCTACTTTATAAAATACTGCAATGCGATTCGAATGACGACTTTTCTTACAAACAAACGAAGTAATATCAATAATCACTTACTTCATACGCAAGGTCATTGAAAAAATTTGAGTCACATTAAAAAGATTTCTTTGATTTTAAAAAATGCCTATTTTATAAGAATTTTCGTAATTTAAGATCTGTCGATTGAAACATCATTAAGCTTCTCGTCACTTTCAGAAATAAATGTTGGGTGGAATTTGGTGTTCTTTCCTTTCGTTCACGAATACAATCATTTGAAGGTGACTGTTAGCTATCTACAGTAAAAACAGATAGTAGCAACCATTGTTCCATTAACTTTTTTTGTATATAAGTCTGACATCATACATAAAATGATGCTTTTTAAGACTCAAAAGACAGTTTTATAAGATGATGTATTTTCACGTATAGCCTAAATATTCTTATTGAAAATTAAAATGTCCGAGTACGTAACTTCTACGTATATATATAAATTTTTTTCCAATAGTTTAATTAATATCAAAATTAACATAACAAGTTTGCTCTATTTTTCTCGTAATAGATATATTTCATACAGATATACCATACTACATATATCACTGCTATTAGCTGAGCGCAGAGACGAGTGCCTTCACCCGCTCCCGTGCTGGCTTACGAGACTCTAAAAAGTGCACAAAGCCAGCGCGGGAGAGAGCGAAGNTAACTTCTACGTATATATATAAATTTTTTTCCAATAGTTTAATTAATATCAAAATTAACATAACAAGTTTGCTCTATTTTTCTCGTAATAACTTTTGCTATATTATTTAAACTTTCATATGCATAAGAGGACACTTTGGTTAAAAGGAAAATGCGGTTCAATTTTCTGAAGTTTTACACAAATAAAATCATAAGTATCAATTTTTTATTTTTCATCACTAATAATTTCGTAGTCTTTTTACTTTTTCTGTCGTATTTACTTTTGTTCTTGATTTGCTGGAATTTTCCTCACGAGAGATCAGTTTAAGAAGAAATTTCCTCCTCATGAGAGGGTAGTTTCTTCTCTCTTTCCCGAAATACCATATACCCGAATAAACATCACAATTTCATTTATTATAATTTATTAATGTGAAAGTTATATTTTTAATTTAATCTCATAACAGCCGGGATAGTTACTCAACTCAACTTTTGGATTTTTTAAAACAGAATGCTATTTATCTAAACTTTTAATGACATCCAAGACATTGTAGAGCGTATGCTGTCTACTACGCATGATCAATTATATGAAATTATCAGAAAATGCTATTGAAATTTGTGCAAATTTTATGATGTACATTGTCTTTATTCGCCCTGGTCCACTATAAATTTCAAAATGAAGTGAAACTTCTATTGCACATATTTTCAAGTATGAATGTAAAATCACACAAAGAAAAAGATTATTGAAAGTTTTTTTATATATCTGTAAGCAAAACAATAGAAACATGTCCAGCCTACTTGGCCTGGTCTGACCGGACTACTTCTAGCTGTCAAGGTTACGAATATAATTGTAATTTCGAATTGCCTGTTAAAGCACTGTCAGAACAAACCATCAGGATTTTTATAAGGAAGATATTGCTATTTTCCTCAGCTGACAACACAAACATCTCTAGAAAAAAGATTTAAAAATTAGAAAAATTGAAATAACTATGTTACTACATAGTTATTTAAGTATGTAATGAAAGTAAAATGTTTATGACAAAATAAGAAAGCCATAATAGCATTCATGACGAACACTTTTTTCGCCAGATCACTTCCACTTTCTACGACAGTTGTATAATGTTAAGTATATTTAACATTATACTTGAAATAGTCTTGCAAGTTCCACTTAAATATGTACTGATTGTGAATAAGAATTTAACGCTTTGTAGTAAAAAAACAGCAAGAAAAACGAATCAGAAAAAATTACAATCATTACTAACAACTTTACTTTTTTATTTATTTAACAGATTTCAAAAAATATATTTTTAATAACTGTGTAGTTTATATATATTTTTAAATTTTCAATTGTATAAATTTCATTGTCTTCATCTATTGCACACATTCAAAAAATAAAACGACTAAGCGATTTTTTCCAGAAAGTTTATTACTTGACTTGCATTCGCAATTAATAACGCTACAATTTAGCGTTATTAATTCATTAAACTTGTATTGAATATTTTAATAAAAGAATAATAACCCAGCTGTCATGAACAGCATTCGAAACAATACTTTCTATTGAAAGCTTCTTTATGGTACAATCTGTTTCATCCTCAGCATCAATCATGATTTGCAAGAGATCTGGATGATGATACTGAAAATAGTTTTATAAAACTATTAGTAATATTTTTGTTATTTAGCAATTTATAAATTGTAAATCTTACATCTGAAGTTTTTCGGGAAATAACTATTTGACTGCACGTATCAAAACTATTTTAGTACACGGATAATTAATTGCATATTTTATTGTATCCAAAATCTTTCTACCATATGTAGGAATCGGTTCAATTTCGGGTAAACAAACTAAAAGCATCGTATTAATTATTTATAATCATAAAATCATATAAACCACCATAAAAGTTTTCTAAAATCTTACTTGATAATATTGACAATAGATCGGCGGTATCAACCTCGAAGGTATTATAGACGGATTGCACAAATTTACTTGTTTCGTCATTTTGTACGTTTGTCTGAATTCCAAAAGCTGTTCTACAAATTATATCGAAAGTTAACTTTTTATAAAATTCGGCAATATCAAACGGCGATTCTTTCTGTTTTTCGATTTTCTCCATAAATATATTTATCGGCTTAGTCATAAGAGTGCTCATCTAAAAACAGAATTTTGATATATTCATCTAATAACAATACATACGTTTGAATTTCTAATGCTAAATATTTATAAAGAAACATAATAAATATCCTATATATCTAGAGTTTTATTAAAGAGGCATAAATACCATCTTTAATTTAGCTGTACTGAAACCTGTGATCAATATATTTCTGGTATTTTTCCAATCCTCATCACATTGAAGTACAAGTGGTTCAAACGACGGATCATGTGGAACTCCTCCATCCGGAAGTATTACCTGAAAAAAATAGATAATAAAACGTCAGAATAATACGGTTATAATTACGAAAAATTACTTAAAAACTTACATCTCTATTCATAAAATTTTTGAATTCCTTTATCTGTATAAGTTTCATCAATTCCAAATCACGACACACAACCCAAGGTTTTCCTCCAAGAAAGAAACTAGTTTGAAAGAAATTAGAAACTAGTAGAAATTGTTAAATAAGTAAAGAAATTATAATTTCGATTATAATTTATAAATTATTTAATTAATTTAAGAAACTGAAAGTTTAAATAATTATTATAATTTATTTTTAATCTCTAACTCCACAACAATTACAGATCTTGACACTTAATGTAAGAAGATACGTACGAAAGTAAATAACTTATCGATTTTTTTTATAAAATAAAATTTCCTACAATAAAATAGAACTTTGTGTACGCAAATCCAAATTTTGCAGTACGTTGATAATCTTTGTGAATTTATAATAATGCATGAAAAACAAAAACTACTGTATAGAATTAAAATTATGTTTATTAGTGTACTGTAACCATTAGCTCGTTAGTAATAACTTTTAAAAAACAAGCGTGATGTGAAATTTAGAATTGAATTTGATGTAGGATAAAAATTCATACAGTTTTAGAATATGTATGTTATCTTCAAACTAGAATCAAACTTTCTCGACAAAAACTCTAACTGATGTTAATAGGAACTGATAAATAGCATCTATAGTTTCTTTTTGTTTTTGTTTACATACGGCAATGCAAAATGTAGGCCATAATTTTTCATAGAAAAATTGGTCCCTATTTAACTCTTAAGATGTGACGAATCCAAAAATTCACGTGGCCAGTCCATTAGTGAGGCGCAGAACCACAATCAATGTTCTAGCAGTTTTGTCTACTCAGCCACTGGTGGACCTCTAAAGTTCCGAGAAATAAAACCTTTCTCATAACGAGTTATAATGAGTAAAGCACAACATATCTCTGTTTCTTCGAGGTTCGAAAATAAAACTTTAAAAATTCTATATAGACAATATACGGACTATTTGTGGCATCAAATTACAGAAAGCCATTTCTGATAATAACGGCTAAAACAGACTGATTCATTTGTAAAACTGCGAAGACGAAAATCATGTTTAATTTAAACATGATTTTTAACAACTTTATTAAATATTATAAATAATTATCAATAAAATTAACATCTTATGTAATTACACAGAAATGACATGCATGTTTTATTTTATTAATATTATATTAAATGATAGGAATAAATTAATCTTTGCAGTAATGAACTTTACCCAAAAATATTTCCGTATTTTTCTATCCATTCATCAAAGCATTTGTTTCTCTGTGAATAAGACAAATTGCTTAAATATTTAATATTAAAATTTAGATTTTAGCAGTGAATAACAATTTTTTACTTTTCTATTATATTCCATCGCATTTCCAGTAACGAAATTGGGTTTAGGACCAGGGATTCCATATCTTTGAAACAGGCTCATCTTTCTTTTTCTCCATCTAGAAATATTGCTGAGCATTTAGTTTTCATTTGTATCGAGAAAATTTGAAAATATTTAGTTATATATTAAATGTTTAATCAATTATATTATAAAAAACAATATTATTAATCACTTATTAAAAATATAAAAGAAATTATTGTAAAAGTATTTAAAATATAAATTAGATAAGAAATTAATGGATTATTTTTTTTTGTTTACATCTCTCTCTTTAGTGAAAATAAGTTAGACACTATTTTCTTAGAACTCAACGAGTGTTCTAGGTCAAATTTACTCGGATAGGGCAGATTCTGCATTATCCGAGGTAAGTGAGTAGCCTACATAATTTTTCTTACACTATAATTCGTAAACGAAAGCACCAAATGATAACTTGCATTACAAAATAATCTTTTTTCTTACGTTTTATCATTTAACTTTAGTGTGAGACAAATCGTTCATATTAAAATGTAACTATAATAACACTTCAGCTGTTTTAACTGTATGATATGGTGTGAAAAATGTTCTTATTTTATGTATGAAATTGAGTAAAGTAACTTATAGAAAAAAGCTTAAAAGTGATATACAGTAATACCTCGGTTTTCGTCGGCGTGTCCTCGTGACCTCGCTTCAAATTTTGCGAAAACAAAGGGCGATCCACGCATTTTCCCGCTCATTGTGGCGTTGTTTCTTGTTGTGTGAGCATTATTACCCCGCGCCTCTAGCCAAACATTTTCATTGGTTTCCTTTTTTTTGCTCCATCATAGGACCAAAGAAAGTGCCGAGAGCTAGCAGAACTTCAAAGAAGAAAGCCAGGGGACTCCATCAAAGTCAAGGAATTCATTTTAAAATACGAGAGCAACATTAAGATTGCTGAAATCGTCCGCTTTTATATACATTTTATATTAATTTCGTATTGTTTTTAGTATTATACACTATATTTATTCTGTATAAAATGTGTTTTTGGTAGGTATTTTGAAGTGTCTAGAACGAATTAAAATTGAATTTGCATTGATTAATATGGAGATAATTGCCTCGGTTTTCGTCGGTTTCGGATATCGCCGATTGTTTTCAGACGGATTATCGACAAAATCCGAGGTATCATTGTACTTATAAATTTTACATTTGTAATTTCTAATCCAAGATGGCCCTGGCTGTCCGTTGTTTCCAAATTTTCAATTATATGAATTAGCATTAATACAGTAATCACATTACCTCGGATCATAGAAATTTTGCTGTAAGTTATGACGATTATGCTGAATAACGCTATCCGTAGCGTAAAAATGTTCATTTTGGTTGTTTCAACAAATCGTAACAACTAATACTTATCAGAAGTATAGGAAATGCAAGGTCCAAAAGATCTGCAATCGCAAGATTGCCTAGTGTTTTAGGCATTACCCAAAATGCACTTTCATCTTGGATTTTGTCAGAAAACAAATTAGACAAACTTAACATTGTATAAATAAGTCTGGGCAAAATTTAAATTTAATACATTTGTTCGCATGTTGCCTATATTACCGGGTAAATAAGTACGAGATTAAAGAAAACAAAGTTTTATGCAACACGTTATCGAGTTATCGAGATGAACTTTAGTAATAAGAACTGAAATATGTCAGAAAATGAGAATAAACAAAAGAGATCTCTTGGACTCTTATCAGATGTTAAAAGATCTCCTTTGTTTCTTCTTTGTCCCAACTTTGTAGAAGACATCATCAGTCCACCCCAGAACTAGTTCTATTACATTTCGAACGTCTCCTTTTCATCGATCAAATCTTGGTTCTGGCAAACTTATAGATTTAAACACATCAATCTTTGGAAATTTCTTATCAGATTTAAAAAATCAGAGAATCACGAGCCTTAGTCTGGAAGTCTTGCATATGTTACAGACAAAGACATGGGAGCTGTTTCCTGCCTTTAATGTGCTCAAAAGCAATGCCAACAAAATAATAAACAGCATAGTTTTCATTAGAAAAAGAGCCAGAAAAAATTAATTCACTTGTGATAAAAAGAATTTTTAAAAGGTCGATGTAGTGAAATCTAAACCGCTAATCCAAAATTATCTTAAAATGTAGGTTTTCGGCTGACAGATTATGGATCCGAATTATTGATGAAAAATTAAGAATAGAGCAAGCGGATTGAAATTCGAATTGTCGTAGCTTTCGGTAGATGTTTCAGGAATAAATAAAAACAATAATATTTATTATTTTTATGATTTTTTTTTCTTCTTCTGGTTTGTTGATAACCTTTCTTCCAAACAATTAATGAATATTGTAAAAGAGATTTTGCAATTTTCTATATAACACATATCTCAAATGTATGGATTTTTTTTTATCAATTTTATTAATTTTAATCTTTATGTTAAAAATTTCTTTTACATTCAAATGAATTTTAATTATTTGCATGTATTTTCGTACTTATTTACTAAAGCATAACGAAAAATTTACCTAAATAGAAACCCATTTAATGTATTACCAAATAAATGCTTCTCAGCAGCTCAAGGTATTTATTTATTAATTATTCTTTTTGATGAGTATTTGTTCAGTTGTTACTATATTACCATTAAAAGCAGTTAATCTTAAAAATAACTTAATTTCAATTTATAGCTGATAAATTACACATTATTACAGCAAAATGATATTCCAGGCTAATTAATAATTCACTTTCGAAATGAAAGTAAAATATAAATGACTAAATGGGTATTTTTTCTAACATTAATTTTATATAAACAAAATCATTATATGTATAACTTTATACATATAATGATAAATGTCTTGCAGAAACAAAGGAACACGAAATAATAAAAGATAAAAATAATTAAAATGAACACAAACATGTATTTCTCAGATTCACAATTGTATACTTACTTTTCACCCCAGTATTCAGTTTACCCATATTAAAGTAAATTTTTTTTGATTTTTAAGAGATACATTGGGATTTGATTATCAGCATAAACGGTGCTGATAATAAAANTCTCGTTCGATGACTTATATCCTGCCTTGCATCCTGGCACAAAGCACGTTGGCATTTTTATGGAGCTAAAAAAACAATTATTATAGGTCAAAATCACTGACTTCAATACATACCTAGCAAGAACAACGATCTCCTGCTAACAGTGGCGCCGACTAGCGGCAAATATTGTCTCTAGCTAAGTTTGAACTATTAGTCAAAAGACCAGTTAATCTACCAACTCTGGTTTCGTCTAGCCATCTGGTAGTAGTGGTGGACACCCTCATCTGTCTTTGGTTTGTTTGGGGAGACCCGCTAAACAGCAGACCAGTCCCCCCCAGCCCTCCCATTTGCCCGTGCCATCTGGTGTCATTGACGGCACTTGTTACAAGTGGAAAGCTCAGGTAAGATCTACCTGATTTTGCTAGTGTACTGGCCAGGGTCTAGCTGGTGTTCCACTAGCCAAGCTTTGCTTGGCAAGCTAGGTCCAGCCAGGACCCCTATTGGCTCCTGGCATTGTCTTCTCTGGTGTCCTCGGGAATATTGTGGATTCTCTCTGCACCAGTGCATTCAACCAGTATCATCTTTGAAATACAGCTTGCTACAGGGTTTTTCCATTGGTGTTCTTGGAGACTTCCCCTGTAGTCGTTTTTTCCTGCGGCACCTCTACTTGAGGCGGCTTCCTGCTCCTCCTTCACTCCGGACATCTTCAAAACAACCCTTCCCGGACTCGGCTACACTTGTGCCTCTGGATTATTTGGAAACTCCCTTGTCTGCCAAGTCTACAGTACTCTGACACGGAAACTACACTCTTCTGGTTGGCAATTACACACTTTACCATCATCATATCATCTCTCAACCAAGTGAGTAGTCAGCATGAGGACAGTACAACTAACTGTAGTGCAAATATCACTTCACTGGAGGACTCGATACTAAGTGAAGCTAATCATCATCTGCTCAAGATATTGGATCTACTACCAGAAAAATACGGTGGGAACATTGGGACTGAGAAACGCAAAGAGGTGCAGGACCGTGTCACTCGCCTCTATGCCTGTTTTGGACAGTTCCACGGCATCCTGAAAGAAGTGAGGTCCAAGCATTCCCCGCGCCCTGTCTCCACTCCGACTGTGACTAACTCTCAGCCAATCTCTTACGCTGATGTCACCAAACTCAATGCAAGACCTAGTGCAACAACCATTGCCATCAACAAGACTTTGAAAAACAAGGTACACTATGAAGGCACAGGAGGCGGATTTGCTGTCCTTATATATCCGAAGACTAAGGAAGACGGACAAAACATCAATATGAATAACATAGAAATGGAAATTAAGAGACAAATAAAACCACACGAGATTAAGGTGCGTGTTAAATCAGTAAGGCATGTGAGAGGAGATGGCATCTGTTTCCGCACAGATAGCCACAAAGAAGCTAAGATCTTAGAAGAGGTAATAAACAAAATTCCAGACATTGCAAAGAAGGTACAAAGAAAAATATCAGAGGGAAGGAGACCTCGGGTAATACTAACTAATGTTCCGATATCAGTCGACGAAGCAGACATAATTCCTATGATTTATGAACAGAACGACATTCTTCACACTATGACCCATGAAGAATTCGAAAATGCAACAAGGATAAGTACCGTCCTATTTAGAAATGAAATACCACAAAAGAAAACTGTCGACACATAGTGATATCAACTACACCCAAAATAAGGGATCTCCTTGTAAGACTGAAACATATTGCCATACAATGGGCAAAAATATATGCTAATGACTACATACCATTGGTGAGGTNATTAATTTAATTCTATTCTAGGAGTCTGCCAAAAGCACACGTATTTGTAAAATCTAAGTGACTCGTACAACATGGAATTCACATAAAAAGGAAAAATCAACAGTGTCATAGGGGGGTCGACTGTATTTTACTACTACAAGTCGGGTCCAGACTTGGAAGAGGTAAGTTGTGTGTTCTCTTGCTCCTGACCAGGTTATTTTGTAGGTTTTAGTGCTAAGCCTTATATTAGGCTAAGCTAGCTGTAGTCTGTGTTAAAGTAGGGTTAGCTTGCAGTTAGGCTTAGGATAACTAAGCCTAACTTTTTCTCCCATTTTATTTGGGAAGTGTTGGGTTTTTGGGAGCCAGACATATTGGCTTCCCCAGTGCAAGGTCTGGTGAAGGCAAGCTCGGCAACAATCTTGTATTACGTGCTTTCCTAGTGGATACAGGATGGATATTGTGTCTACCTTCAGTGTTGTGTTTGTGTCATCGTTCTGTGTCCTGTATTTCGTCTAGCCATCTGGTAGTGGTGGACACCCTCATCTGTCTTTGGTTTGTTTGGGGAGACCCGCTAAACAGCAGACCAGTCCCCCCCCAGCCTCCCATTTGCCCGTGCCATCTGGTGTCATTGACGGCACTTGTTACAAGTGGGAAGCTCAGGTAAGATCTACCTGACTTTACTGGTAAATTAAAGTTTATTATTTCTGTTTCTTTTATATACATGGAGCAACATGCTCGATAACATTTTTATTTCATTTAAGTACAAAAGTCACTTTTTTATTCATTTCTTATGCTTATTTAACATTACATTTAAAACCGTAATACAACTACTATAATTATAACTCTTTTTTACATTAGGCTTCTTTCTTTTAAAATATATTTACATTTATTTATATATTATATTTCTTTTTACAATTTCTATTTATTGTCATTACANTTGAGATTATCGTTATTGTTATTACTATATATTACAATAGTTAATTCGTGCGTTAAATTTAAATTTACTTTTTAATATTTATAAATATAGTTTTACACGCAACACCTGTACTGTCAGTTTTAGTTAATTTACATACTTATTTTGTAGAAATTTAAAAATAAGTATATTTTTTTCATTAAATGATTGTATTTTTTGTTTTCTAAGCTCCCATATTTAGCATAAAATAAATAATTACAACTTATTTAAAATTTTTGTCAGTACCGCACCACATTCAGACTTATACACAAAGTTGTCATTTCATTCTACAGCACCTTTACTTTTGCACATTTGTACAGATGCCGAATTTTATTGTAATTAATTGACGATTAATATTTCTAATATAAGTGTGAAATCCGAATATATTTGTCATGTTATGTCTACAGAATGTTTCATTAATTAAGCCTTCAACCATGCAGGTTATCAGCATGCTCGGTGGCATGCCCTTCACTGTTTTGGAGCCAAAGTTATTGCTTTCTGTAGTTTTAGGTAAATAAATATTTCGTATAAAATACCATGAATCGAATATTTACAAAAGGATCCATCAAAAGTACTTTAAAAGACATGAATATTTGTAAAAGTGTACAATCGAAACGTATTAAAACTTAATGTTTTACAGAGAGTTTAGTGGTGTAATAATTTATACATAAAATAATACTTATGCAAATTAACGAGAATGAAGAATATGCTCGTATCTAAGTACATCGACATTAATATAGCGGGTAATGAAACCAACAGCTAAAATTGATTTTAATGAGTCAGGTTTTGTGATTCTTTATTTACTTTCGTATAAATATCACATTACCAAGCAGCAGCCATAAGACATTTATACTTGCTATTGTTCTTTGAGTAAGATTATTTCTGTCAAATAAGTGTATAGTCCATCAAAAAGAAAACTTCTGAATCTAAATCTCGTAAGTATTTTTAGCTTAATATAACTTCTGTTATACTAATCTGCATGATTAATTGTTTTCACTCTCTTACCTGACGCAAAAATTTGCAAAAATCTATTAATAAATAAATATTAATTTTTACATTACAAAATTCATAAACTAGGATAAAATAATACGTTCAATTATTTATTAATTTTATATTTTAATAAATAATGTTAAAAAATAATGATGTAATACTATCTATTGTGGTTTTTTTACGAAAAAAGTAATTTAGTTTATTACATATTTGACGCCTCCTTTTATACAAAATAATAACTGCAACAGAAGAAATGTGTTCTGTACGATTGTTCCTTTCAGATGTAAATACAAGGTACAAATCACGGATTTATTCATAATCTATTAATGTTTTGTATAAACACTCTTAAATTTAAAAAATTTTTAAGCAACTTTACATAGTCTTCTTTATTTTTCAGATATTTCGAATGAAACAAACATCACAATAAGTCACAAAAGTGTCTTTTGTTTTAAGTCTTTCTCTTCCAAATCTTCTCTCAATCGTCACAACGAAACTCAAAGTGAAGAGAACATATTCGCATGTGATATATGTAAAAAATGTTTTGCAAGTAAATTTCAGATGAGATGTCATCGTAGAATTCATACAGCAGAAGAACTTTACCAGTGCATTGTATGTGATAAACGTTTTTCTCGAAAATCTGCTTTGTCTACACATCTCAGAATGCACACAGGAGAGAAGCCATTTGAATGTGATATATGTAAAAAATGTTTTGCAAGGAAATTTTCGATGACATGTCATCGTAGAATTCATACAGGAGAAAAACCTTACCAGTGCATTCTATGTGATAAACGTTTTGCTAAAAAATCTGATTTGTCTACACATCATAGAAAGCACACTGGAGAGAAGCCATTCAAATGTAATGTATGTGATAAGAGTTTTTCAATAAATAGCAATCTTTCTGTTCATCTCAGAACTCACACAGGAGAGAAGCCATTCGAATGTGATATATGTAAAAAATGTTTTGTAACAAAAATGGTAATGACCCATCATCGTAGATCTCACACAGGAGAGAAACCTTATCAGTGCAATATATGTGATAAATTTTTGTCACGTAAAAGTTTTTTGTCTGTTCATCGCAGAAAGCATACAGAAGAAAGGCGTTATAACTGTGACATATGTCACCGAACATTTAAATATTACTCAGGTTGTCATAAACACAAAAAATTACATACCGTATTAGAGAAATTTTCGTGTTGTTTATGCGGCACGTTTTTTGCTCAGGAAGACAAAATGGTTAATCATGTTCGGATGCATATTAATTCAGGTTGTCCAAAGTGCAATTGCCAGTTCTCATGTGAACGAAACTTTTTAGCTCACGTTCTTCAACATTCGAAAGAAACACTGCGACTGTGCGAAACTTGTCTTCACCCTTTTGCTCGGATTTCTGCGTTTAAGTTGTATAACACTATTCTATTTTTTCCGGAAAATGTATCTTACTGCACGGATTGTGGATCAAAAAAATAAATTGTATAATATGTAGAAAGTTTATTTTGCGTGTTGTTCCATTTAGTCGTATTTGCATAAATTTTCTCTGTCAACACGAACGACAGATTTTCAGTTCGACAAATTTTAACTTTTATCTTTCAGCAGAAAGCTAAGATTTTATTGTAACGTTCTTTGTCTTTTTGTAATATCATGCATTATAGTTGAACATTGTATTTGAACCAGAACTGTTATGTAAAATATTACATATAAAATTCTAAAATAATGATTAATAAATGTATTTAAAAACTGAAATTTAGAGCAATGATTAATATTTTATCACTCTAACACTCTAAAAATTTAAATATCTTGGATTACACCACCAAAATAAACCTAATAATGTTTTAGTAAACATATTCAACACCAGTTCGAAAACATGAGCTTGATTACTGTGTACCTCACAAGTGTGAGAACCGACAGGGTCATTTCTTTCTACAGGGTCATTTCATTCTAGTCGCCCATCGACGATAGTAGTGCCAGTAACTTAGGATTTTTCTATAACTTTGTGCCCTAATTCGATTCTCGACAACTAGGTGGATTACCTGATTTTCGCCAGGATATCAAAATACATTAAGAGGTATGGAAACAACTTCTGTGAACTCTCTCTTGGCCTCTTCGCGCTTACGGACTCAGAATTTAGAATTCGGGCTTTAGGGACTCAGATCTCCGTGGATTGGCCTTCAAGTCGGAGGGACTTGCCCCTTGTCAGAGATGGCTTAAATTTTTAGTTTATCCCGTGGGAACGGGACTAACTTTTTTCGGGTCTGGTCGAGTGTAGTAGGGAGGAGTGCCATCGGTAAAATGACAGGCGATATACCAGTAAAAAAGGACACCAATTTAACAAAGAAACAACGATTTATAGGTTATCTATATAGACGGTACCATTTATTTATTTAGCGTATGGCTACACATCTAATTGTTAACAAGAACAGAAAGCAGAAAAAGTAAGAACACAAATCATAAATGTAAATCTAAGTTAGAAATATAGTTTAAAGCGGTACCATAACTATTATCGAAGGAAAATTCTGAGTCCCTAAGCACGAAGAGGCCGAGAGAGAGTTCACAGAAGTTGTTTCCATACCTCTTTATGTATTTTGATATCCTGGCGAAAATCAGGTAATCCACCGAGTCGTCGAGGATCGAATTAGGGCACAAAGTTATAGAAAAATCCTAAGTTATTAGAACTACTACCGTCGATGGGCGACACCCCGGAGGAGGGGAGAGAAGTGGCTTTTATCGTTTCACGGTGGGAAAACAATCATGTGACTAATTAGCTGCGAAATAAAAGGTGTGCGATGAGATCAAAGTTGTCCCCGTAACCCAAATAAGATGACAAAATCGTATGTTAACTATAAACGTTTGAGTTCGTAGTATGGGAATATTGTCGAGATAGGCGAATGTTTAATTTGATAAAAAAAGAGGTGGAAATTTTTCCATCTTTCAAATTGTTTTTTTCTCTATTTTCTAGGGGAAAAATCAGTAAAAATTCTGGATTTCACAGAAGCATAAAACTAAGACGAAATAACAACTGAATTAAAAATTATCAGAAAATTGCTCATATTACGTAACTTAGACGATCTACATATCTGAATAACTTTGTCAGTTTTAATATAAGTGTTAGGAAATAGTAAACTAAAGCAAGTGTCAATATCAGTAGTAGTGGTTTGGGTGGCACTAATTACAAAATTAATTTCAGATGTCGATTAAATTAAAATTGCAAATAAAAATTTGTCAAGTGGAATTATTTCAGATCACAAAATTAATCTCTCCATCACAAATCTTAATTTTATTTTAACAATAAGGTAAAGTTCTTGTAATAATTATTAAATGTTTTAATATCGAATAAAATTAAAACAATAATTGTATGAAATAATATAACACCAAAACGAATTTTTTTTTTATTTTTACATAAATAAATCAAATAAGTTTTATATTATTNTGTTCTTTTTAAATCGTTTAAAAGTTGTTTTAAATGTTCGAAATTTAGTAAATAAAAAAGAAACATTATTCGGATTTATGTGCGAAGACAAGTGTTTGATAAACACGACAAATACAGAGCGAAGTAGAAAAGAAAATTATACGGGTAACTTCAGTAAGTGACTTTCTATTACTATGCCTCACAGGTAAATAGTTGCAAAATTCTGTAAATTGAGTGCATTGTAATATTCCACCACAATTCTATGTTATCTATGATTGCTCTGTCTTTGCTTTACTGTGTTCACAGGGAGTTACAAAACAGTTTTTACTATTCCAACCATTTACCATTATGTTTAAATTTAAAAACACAAGAAATAAAAATATTTGGAGTTTTGTTAAAAGTTTAGGTTTTAGGTCACATGTTGGCCTGAAAGAGTCAGCTGACACAGGTGAGAGTAAATTTGCAAAATACAGTAAGGATATTTCTCAGATCAGTGTTTCCCAACTCACGTGCCGCGATACACAACTATATCGCGGAAGAAACTGGTATGTCGCGGAAATATTAAATATTTTCTTAGAATATTGAATAAGCGCCTGTTTAAAATTTCATTTATTTTTTTACCGCTGGCTGGCCGAAGGAGGTGTTCGCTAAAATGCCGATTGTTGCAAAATTTGCGACATCAGAATATCCTTGAAACTTGATATTCGAAACTTCGAAGCTATAAAAGTTTTAATGCTAATATATTTGCTATAGTAATTTATTGGGCTGAATTTTTTTTCAAATTGTATACCTATAAATTACCACTGTCGTTCATTTATCCGTCTGTCATCCTAACTCTCGAGAATGGAGTTAGTTAGACGAAATTCGAGATCAGATATGGAAACCCTAGAGGCAGATGGTCCTGATTAACTATATAGAAATTTCCTATAAAAACTGGAAGTCACGTTATTTTTATTAAAATCTTCCCTGAAAGCATTTAATACAGTAGATGACTGACACACTCACTTGTTAAAGAAAAAGTATGATGTACAGGGGCAAGACACGGCAGTACTAATCTGAAGTAGAGAGCATATATTTTAAACTATATAAATTAAAAATATGATTAAAAATTTCAGCCCGCCATTGTGACGATGTCACAATAAATAATTGCTCGTCACTTAATACATTTAAGTGTTTACTTTCTAGTTATTAATATAGTAAAATTACGAATTGACGTTTAAACTGAGAAAATCAATTCCAAAGTAAAACGTATTCATAACGTAATGAATTCAGTCAAAAACAATCATACATGCTACGAAGCATATTTATGTTTTAAATTAAACATATTTATTTATGCTAGTCAACATATGTCAGATCTCTGTGTAAGTCAAATAATACATACAAATGAACATATCAGACAATACAGAAATGAGTAAAAATAAATAATGAATAACAGTAAATTGTGAAATAAATAACTCAAAAATATATAGTAGAAATGAGGCAATTATGATCTAACAAACTTATTTTTTACAATGTATTTCCATCCCGTTCCTAAACTATCGGCATCACTGCAAGGGAGTGTACAGACTTAATGATGTTTGCTCTTCCCATTTTATCACTGAGCTCTCAATCTGCGCCATCCTGGATAGTACTGTGGTAATGGATCTATTTCTTATATTATATTGGTATTCTTTAAGTCTAATTTTGAAGTTCCTTGTGGTGACACCGATCTAAAGAAAATGTGTTAATTAAACATGAACGGGCATGTAAAAAAGAAGGGATAGAAATGTGTGCACCGACCATTAGGCGGCGCAGAGCACTGCATTAGCAAATTTTCTTACCTAGTTAGTTAATCAGTGCGACCTGGTGTACGAACTAACTATTAGAATTACGTTATCCCACAAGTCATCATTATTCGAATCGTTTTGCAGTATGTTATAAAAGTCGCTTTCCAATTTAGTATAAAGGTAACGTGTTTAATATATTTCATTTTGTTTCATTTCATTTATTAATTATATAGATAAAGTAAGAAAAAAATAATTAGGTTATATTAATGTTAACTGTTGTATCCAGGGTGGCCAAACTGCTGTAATGGACTCTTCTAAACTATTATTGAGGTTACCGTATACTTATAACTACAGTTTATTTTTATACTTGAGACATACTACTTACACATATGTAATTTTTTTAATCAGTTTTTTTGATTATTTTGAAGATGGTATACATACGAATTGTAAGCGTAACTTAACCTATATCAGGCAATTGAAAGCTNCCAGGGAATTCAACAAGCTCAAACATAAAAAAGCTCCAGGTCCGGACAAAATTACCGCAAAGATGGCCAAGATTGCATTTCAAGCAATCCCAACTACCTTTTCTATTATAATGAATAAGTGCCTAGAGGTGGGCTACTTCCCTACTGAATGGAAGCAAGCATCAATTAAATTAATTCCAAAGAACAGAAACTCACTGCCATCTTCTGCCTCAGACTTCAGGCCAATATCACTTCTGTCATTTATCGGGAAAGTGCTGGATGCTCTCCTTGTCAATCGTATTGTCTATCACTATGAGAGTAATGGTATCATGTGTAACCGGCAGTACGGCTTCAGGAAGGGGAGAAACACTATCAAGGCAATGGACAATCTGAAAACATATATTCTTAAGGCACTGAAAGAAGGCAAGCACACTATCATGGTCACCATAGACTTTAAAGGTGCCTTCGACCATGCTTGGTGGCCTGCAATCTTATCCAATCTGAAGAACGACAAGTGCCCAAGCAATATCTACCGACTAGCAGCCAGTTATCTGCACGAGCGAAGCATCTTGATTGACACTGGTAGCAATACATACCAAAGAAAAAATATTCACAGGGGTTGCCCACAGGGCTCCAAGTCTGGCCCGTACCTCTGGAACATCTTATATAACAACCTCCTGAAGTTGCAAAACAACACTCCGTCTGAGTATGATGTTCTTATCCAGGGGTACGCGGACGACACGACTCTTCTTCTCAGTCATGTCAATCATAAGGTCCTCCAAGACAGGGTCAATGCCACGCTATTAAGGATCTCTGATTGGTGTGTGAATAACAAACTCATTATTAACTATAACAAATGTAATGTTTTGGTATTTCCCAAAGGGAATATTCTAAAAAAGGGCCCTAGTATTAAAATAGATAACATCAAGATCAAGAATGCTACCAGTGTGAGGTACCTTGGTATTGTATTTGACCCAAAGCTTAACTGGACAGAACACGTCCACTATGTGTATGAAAAGGCTGTCAAGGTAGCACAAGCGCTAAAAACAATCAGTAGAAATCAGT